TCCAGTTTAGATTCATTGGAGAAAAAGCCACTGCTTTGGGCTAGGAGAACTATGGAGGGAAAGGTCTGCAATGCCTATGAATTTAGTTATGACAAAGCTAAAAAGTTGTGAGTGACTCAGAGGGCAGAAAAGAGAAATTGAATTTTTTTTTACTAAAGATATAAGGGATTGTATGAATTTAGTGCCCCTACTCTCAGGGAAAAATCCTAAGGGAAATTAAATGCAGATGAGAGGCTAAGAGAAGAAGGGAAGAGTGCATTAAAACACTATTGCAATGGCTGCAGCACTCAAAGAGCATGCTAATTAACATGGGCTGGCTACCTCACCTACATGTTTGATGTCTCGCTGAATAAAAGGTCAAAGCAAATGAAATTTTGAGAAAAAGATGCAGAATACTCAAAGAACTGGATATGCAGTTGATGATAGTTGGCATGCAATATCTAAGTCAAGTTCATAGTGTCTAGGGTCAATAATATGATCATGATAAACATGCAGTTAATGATGTCAAACACTAAGTGTTTGATAATAATAAATGTTATATATTCATCTGTATTTGTCTTAGCCTAATTACACTTATCAGTTTACCTTTACAGTTCCCTAATTATAGGGACTTGGTTTTTGTTTTGTTAGTTATAACACAAAGTGTATTGGAGGTTGTACTATCTGTTACAGATATGTTCTGATTCTGTGTTCTACTTTATGTAAGGTATGACTTTGCCCTATATATCACATGCTTCAAACATCAGGGCACTTAAAGATAGGAGTGTAGGTTTCAATCTGAAGACCATGTACCCCTAGAAAATGATAGTACCTCTAGGCCTAAGCATAATGTATCTACCATAGGAGTGATGAATAAGTATGGAATTGTCAAATTGTCAATAGTACAATGGTTATCAGGCTTATTGTGATCTTATATTGTGAGCTGGTTATTATCTAAATAAGACAGAGTAAGATATAAGTGAAATCTATGTTTTTTCTGGCCCAGATGGTGACAATATACCTATCCCATTGTGATATCCTTGTACCCTTATAATATCCTTGAGTTACCCCTACTATTGGTCTAAGGGTAAGACTCTCTGGAGATAGGGGTGTAAGTTGAGCTCAGGATACCCATAGATTTATCCCTATCCATATCTAACTATTATGGCCTTTCTAAAAGGAGTTGATTAGGGGTGTCAGGTACTACATATGTGTGGGTCCATGTCTTGATACTATTGATATTGATCTCTAGCATTTCAATGCATCTGCCCATGTCTTGTGCTTTTCCATTTGCAGTCTGCAGTCTCATTTAGATCTACTGGTTGTAAGGTACCTATGTGTTCCTCCATGCCTCTTCATATATTACAACAATTTTAGAGCCTTTATCTAGTAGCCCAAGTTCTAAGTAAATGTCATTCAGAGTGACCTTGAGTTGGTGCAGTGAGTGCATGAATGACACCTCCTCATCAGATTGAGGCGATTGGGATCAAGAAAGACAAAGATTGGGCTCCATAGGAGTGGTGACAGGCTTGCAATCAGCCATGCCAAAGTGTTTGAGGATGTCTAGTGAGTACTGATGCTGGGAGAGTGATATGGCATGACTAGGAGGGTCTCTGTCTATCTTGATACCAAGAAGTTGAGTGGTGGAACTAAGGTCGCAAAGTTTGAAGTGCTGAGAGAGCTGAGAGATGATTTGGTCGATGGCAGTGAGGGATTTGGATGCAAAGGTCATGTCGTCCACAAAGACAGGCAGAATGATGCGATCTTTGCCTCGAGAATAGACATAGATTGGTGTGTCCAAGTACATCTGCTTGAATCCAAGAGACTCGAGCACAACTCTTATCTTCTTGTTCCAGCGATTGCCCCCTTGCTTGGTGCCATAGATGGACTTGTCCAGAAGACAGACAAGTCTCTTAGGGTCGCCCTCAGCAAAGCCTTCGGGTTGCTCCATGTAGACCTCGCAGTCCATCTCTCTATTGAGATAAGCATGAGAGATGTCGACAGAGCGAAGATGGAGGTCATGAATGGCAGCTAAAGTAAGGACAATATGGATGGTGGGCATACATACGGAGCAAATATCTCGAGGTAATCAAAGCCAGGGCGCTGATTATAGCCCTTGGCCACAAGGTGTCCCTTGTGGCGCTCTATGGAGCGATCAGCGTTGCGCTTGACTTTAAACACCCACCTTGAGCCTATGACCTTGCAATCTTTTGGCCTTTCAACTAATCTCCAAGTCCCATTGCTCTGGTGAGCAGCCAACTCCTCAAGCACAGCTTGGTGCCATTGCTTTGCATCAGAATAATGCAGGGCCTCTGCAAATGACATTGGCTCAGCTGGGGCAGCCACAGAGTAGCACACCTCAAAGCCTATATCACCATCCTCCACATCATCATCTACCTCATCATCTAACTGCACATTAGAGAGCTTCCACCACTCGTGAGGAGGGCGACGTGCTCGTGTTAGCAGTCTGGCACCAATGCCAACTGGAGAGGCAGGCGCAGGAGGAGCTGGGGCTGGGATTGCTGGCACAACTGGTGCGTGTGCAAGAGGCTGAGGAGGCACTAGATCAGGCCCTAAGACGCCATGTCTATCGCCAGGTTGGACATCTGGGACAGCTGGGTTGACTGCATGCTTAAGAGGCAATACAGAGGGTGCTGGAGCGATGGCAGGTGGAACTGGTGGACCTGGTGGATGCCTCACCCCCCCATAAATCAGTGTCTCATCAGAGTCAGCATCATCATCATCATCAGAGTCTGGAATCACCCTAGACTCGACAGTAGGCAAAGAAGGGGAGGGCAGAAGCACACTAGCAGGCCTTTTAGAAAGAAGCAGATGCCTCTCATCGAAATCAGCGTGTTCTGAAATAACAGTGTGCTTGGAGGTGGTTGTAGAACTTCCAGCCCTTATAGCCATATGGACAATCAATGAATATGCACTTTCCATATGGGACTCGAGCGCAGAGCGCTTGTTCTTCTGCACATGCACATAGGCAGTGCACCTCCACACTCTCAGGTGGGAGATGTCAGGTTTCCGCCCATGCCACAGTTTGTAGGGCGTGGCATCATCCACTGCAGCAGTGGGGCACCTGTTCCATACATGAACCAAAGCTGCAAGAGACTCACCCCAGAAGGCCTTTGCAAGGCCAGACTCATCCAACATGGTGGTGATGCACTCAGCTAGAAGCCTGTTGGCTCGCTCAGCGATACCATTCTGCTGAGGACGAGCCCTGACTATGTGCTGGCGCACAATGCCACACTGGGTAGTGAAGTCAATGAAGGCATTGGACAGAAGGGGGCATCCATCTTATCAGCAAGGCAAGGCTCGCAGATGGGGTCTGGTGACGCCCTTGAGTCCAGCCTAAGTCCAGTGATCAGATTATGGTCAACAAGCGTCCTGACACCAGCTATCTGGCGCACTGCATGGCAAAGCACTTGTGCACACAATGGCCTGCCTTCTCACAGAAGTCGCAGACAGCATTAGCACTCCACTTACAGCTACTTTGCGGCACCCCAGCGGCAGAGGCAAGGGCAGAATCACTGGAGGACGCTCCAAGGGCATCAGCATGTCGACAGCGCTGGGTTTCCTCAGCAAGGAAGGTGGCCTTGAGCTCCTTCTTGTCCAAGGACTTGAGGAGGATCAGGCTAGATGCAAATTGGGCATAGTCTTATGTGTGATGAATAGACCTCGATATGAGGCAAAAGTGTAGAAAGGGGCGCACTATGGGCCCAAAATTGACTGATCTCCCACTGATCTCCTTATCACTGATAATCCAGATGCTCTACAACAACTCTAACATGCTCCAGAGGATTTTCAAGGTCGTAGAAGACGATGGTGAAGATGGATAAGGCGGCGAGTCACAGGGGAGCGAGATATGGATGCAAAAAGTCGAAGTTGATAGGAGATATGTGTGGATATGAGTCAGGTCTCAAGAAGGGAGATTAACTCGACCTCCTGTGAGCTGATTAGGGCAGGGAAGACGCAGATGGGGGTTTTTGATGTCAGGGAATTGAATGGTAAAGGAATGAAGTCAATATCTTCAGTAGATCTTGAGCTATAGCGATTTTGAAGCGGTTACAGCGCAGGGCTCATAACCTGTTAAGATGGGAGTAAAGTGGGCCGCTTCTAGAGGCTGCTGAGAGACCAGAAGAGATCAGACTAGAGTCCAGAGTAAGTTGCCAATCTATTGAATGGTATAGTGAAGTTGTACAGTACCTAGAGTCCAGAGTAAGTTGCCAAAGAGGCAGGGAGCACTGGACTCTGGGATATGGGGGACATATGGTAAACAAATGTAAACAGACAAGCCACAATCAAAGGGTAAGTAATAACTCGACCTAGGGATGTCCTAAGGAGATTAGGAAGTCATGTAAATAGGTAGCAAAGTGCAAGGAATGATACTGTAAGTATAATGGTACAATTAGACACATAAAAGACATAGAAATATATACTGTAGAGGTGAATAATCATATAACTAACACCTTTTTGCCCTCAATAAGACAATCAGTCTCCCATCCCTTCATACTCTCCAGACTCGTTCCATCTTCACCTTGATCACTCTGACAATTGGTCAGAATTTTGACAATAATATCTGTTCAATTATTATTAACACCTGCATCGGTGTAACATCATCCTGTGGTGTCAATCTCATGGTTGATGAAATGGCAATCCATTACTTCAAGTACAACAAAATTTCCAGTCTGTGCTGGAAGCATGCCAGTCTTATTGATCCTATGCTCTGTACCTATGCTCCACTCAATATCAATCTTACTTGATAATGTCTTCAGTGCATCAATCAATGCAACTATTATGAAATCTACTCGAATGACAGCCAAAGTACACTACACAAAGTAAGCACCCAGCCAAATATAATGTTGTGTTGCACAGCCTAGTCTGCAATACTTGTGAGACAAGTGCATTCGACATGAGGGGTTAGCTGTTTGGAAGTGTAATAATCAGTTGTACAAAAAGGAAGATAGTCTGAAGACAAAAACATCAGATCAGATACTTTTAGGTCAGGTCAGGTGTTAGGGTGGTTTGTCATTATTGTCAGGTGTCTCTACTACAAGAGTCAGGCCACTAATTTTGGGTCTTGTAGCTTTTGCAATAGCGTTCACAACAGTAATGGGCTGGACAACCTTGACATGGTCCTCCTTCTTCTTCTTTGGATGTCTTATGAATGGTGATATGGTGATGGATTGCGGAAGCTGAACAAATTCAAGGGCCAGGATGTCAATCTTTGTCCATGAGGTGGGTGCACACCCAAATCTGAGCAATATAAACCAGAGTATGTGGAGAGTCTCGCGCATTTTCTGCTGGATGGCCTCAGACACAACAAAACCATCTTCATCAACAAGATATGATATGGAGCCAGCACCATCAGGGCACTTGACTTCGAGGACACCATGACTAAGATATTCCTTCGTCCAGTCACTCTTGAACCAGTAGTACACACCATCATAGTTGTCTTCGCAATATACTGGGATCTGTCTGTTGGCCTCATGTGCCACCTTTAATATTTCAGTAAATGGGTCTGTGGGAGTGCCGATACTGAGAGAACCAATGTGTTCCAGGAGTTGCTCATATCTAGAACTAGAAAAAAGCATAATGATAACCTTCTGCTCGAGGGCACGATTCTTCTTCATTAGCATAGACACCTCATTTTTGCTGGAGTTGGCATGCATATATGCACTGCCTCACTGGCTATATGCATGCGACTAGAAGCCAGGAGGATGACATGATAATGAAGATGAGCTGTCTGCAAATGATTTTCCACTGTGAGATGTAGTATCCTATAGTACTACTAGTTAGAGGATACCATTAAATCTGTAAATCAACAGAAACACAGCACACTTGGATAATAGCCATCAAATCCATGAGACACAGATCTCTACAAGAGAAATGTTCCCTTGAGTCATCTTCATGTAACCTGAGGTGCATTGACTCTGGAGATGGGAGAATCGACTCAGTGAAGGCATAGAGCCTTTGCCACTAGTGGTGGTGGTGTAAATTGTGGAACTGACCATGTGGATTGTGCTGGTGGTGGTTCAAATCATATGGGTGAATTGGGAGATGAGTTTGGTATGGGTTGTCAGTTGTGTGGTGTGCTCATTGTCGTGCACAGCAAAAAGTCTGTTTACCTTTATTTGTAAGTGCCCGATAATTCTTCTAAGTCCAAAGTTAGTGAACGCAATTCACTGGCAACTTGTCTGGCCATGGATATCCCTCTTCTAGTGCTAGAATTTTTCAACTTGCTGTCAGATTCTGATGATATTGATAGCCCACATCTAAATCACTCAGATTTAGAACTCCTTGATGGAGCCTATTGGCTTACAAATCCTGTCTGACTTGACCCTCTCAAGTACCACATTTCTGGCCATCCAAGCCCACAGCAGATTGAAGACATCTCTGACTGGGTAGCGGACCTGTGAGTACATCTCTGCTAGTAGTTGGTTTATTCACTCTTGGGCTATATACTATATAAGCTTCGCAACACCAAGGTGTAAACAGAAAACCATCCCAGTTCCTACTTTGAAGGCCCCCCCAGCACTGGCAGCATCACGGAACCCAAATCGGACAACCCACCAGTCACCTGTGTCCCTCCTAGACCCAAATCAGATGGCAGTGTCACAGAACCTGAATCAGATGACTTTGCTACATCTACAGACCCTGGGCCTAATACCATGTCATCTGTCTCTGAGTCAACAACTTGTCTGGACATCACTATATGTTTGCGACTCCAAGTCCACCACCTCCAGGCTCGATCTACTGGAATTATTTCATGAAGGAGGAAGATGCAACATGGTATGACCATTCTGGCACAGATAAAGGTTTTCAAGCTGTACGAAAGATGAAACAAGAGCTACAGGCACTGTTGGCATAGCATAGTCACTTTGTTTTTTTCTAATGGAATCATACTACTTTGTTGCTGAATGAACTTTGATTGATGCATGCAAAAAACTTGATGTGATGCTAACTAACTGGTAGGTTGATTGTCCTCATCATCCTCATCCCAAAGGATGCCTCCTAGGTTTGCAAGATCCATCCCAGGCTTCTCGAACATATAAAAATTCTCCTCTCCTGCCAGCACATGTGGAATCATTGACACAACAGACAAGAAAGTTGTCACCTGAACTACTCTTTGTTAGTTATATGATCATTCACCTCTACAGTATGCATTTCTATGTCTTTTATGTGTCTAACCTTGCCATTTCACTTACGGTATCATTCCATACACTTTGCTACCTATTTACATGACTTCCTAATCTCCCTAGGACGTCCCTAGGTCGAGTTATTACTTACCCTTTGATTGTGGCTTGTCTGTTTACATTTGTTTACCATACGTCGCCCATATCCCAGAGTCCAGTGCTTACTGCCTCTTTGGCCAACTTACTCTGGACTCTAGGTACAGTACAACTTCACTATACCATTCAATAGATTGGCAACTTACTCTGGACTCTAGTCTGATCTCTTCTGGTCTCTCAGTAGCCTCTAGAAGCGGCCCACTTCACTCCCATCTTAACACTCTTAGCCCTGCTTCCCCTTGATGCCTGCAGGTGTAGAATGTGTCATTTGACTTTTGCAAGAGGGTCTGGTCAGGGGAGTACACAGAAACAAGAGCAAGAGGTTCGAGTGTTTGTTCCACAGCAGCCTCCTGTATCTGCGTCCAATATCCATTTGCAGCCAGCAATGTCACCTGTCTCTGTTGAGATGGGAATAAAGTGGGCCAGTTCTAGAGGCTACTGAGAGAGACTAGAAGAGATCAGACTAGAGTCCAGAGTAAGTTGCCAATCTATTAAATAGTGTAGTGAAGTTGTACAGTACCTAGAGTTCAGAGTAAGTTGCCAAAGAGTTGCCAATCCTGACCTGTATGGCACTTTGTCTATCTACCAATGAGAGAACCTGTTGGGAACAATTCATCATGAGTGAGATTTTTGATGTGACACTTGTGCAGCAGCTCTTTTAATTTAATGACAGCTTGGTGTACCTTAGTATGCATGCACGGAGCAGGTGCATCTTCATCCTGCTGATGTATCCACATCTGCCAAGCAACTGCAAGTGCAACTGGATAAACTCATATAAAATTATGCCATTGATCTGCTTTTAAATGCTCTCCTCCACTAGCAATCTTGTCATCATGATTTAGCATCATGATCAGCCATAGGTTTAAGACTCTTACCTCTATTTGAAACTGTCCAGAATGACTCACCCATCATAGTGATTCCAGAAACTCAGTAAGTCTATCTATGGGCATGATTTCTCCTTGTTTTCTAGTCCCTATGAAATGGAACCTTCAATGAGGATGACTTTGTGAATCTGATCAGAAGTACCTGTAAAAAGTTCTAATGATGCTCACAACCAACTGGAAAGGTATATAATGTCTGATAGAATGCTCAGAGCTCCATTCCAGGTTGGAAACCTATCAAGGATTGAAGTACGGACACCCTTCTTCTCTGCAATATTCTTTCGAGTGTCAGCATCAGAATCTCTATATATATATATTTTCATTTGAGCTGCTTCTCTGAGATCTGGTATCAGAATTCTGCAATGATAGTAGTTCAGGTTCTTCATCTGAGTCTAGAGACTCAGATGTAGACATGTCATCCATATATATCATCTGGCTCCTCCCTCACTGAGTTGCTTTTCTTGATGTCCGAAATTGAGCCATGCATTGCAGCTCCATCTGCTCAAGGAGTGGGCACTGGATCATCCTGACAAGTTTCAACATAAACCCCACATGGATCCTCCCGTTTTCAAGCACCTTGTTGATACAATCCTTGGTCACCCAGTTTTCTACAACTACTCAAATAACCCGTGATTACCTGTCCCTGTGCAACTTGCGATATTCCTTAATAGTGCAGGTCATTATGGAAATGCAGAAGACATAGCAGATTGGGCAGGCATCTCAATAGGGACAGTTACAATTGTCACCGGCATGTAATGATCGCACTTCTTCAGCATCATGATGTCATGATTCATTTCAACTCACTTTATGAGGACGATTAGATTAAGAGGGAGAGGGCAAAGACATGGATTGAAGATCAAACATGTCTGGAGTGGAGGGACAGGTTTCTCTGTGTCAACAGCACACTGATTAAACTGTTTCAAAAGCCTGGATGGCACGGAGAGGGTTTCTATGACCGCAAATCAAATGACTCACATCTCCCAAAGGTCGTAATCATGCCGCACAACCTGTGCATTGTCGAATATGTCATTGGTGTTCCTGGTAGTGTGCATGACTCTAATTGCATTTTCAAAGGCCTAAATTGCGTGCCATCCTCAGACCTTTTTGGGTGGAAACAAGTGGATTTGGGCTGACATGGCCTATGGCTTCCATCTGTGGTGTGTTGTGCCCTTCAAGCAACCAGCAGCTGGTGGGTTGACCCATATCAGAAAATGTTCAACTATCATTTGTCAAAGGTAGGACAAACTATTCTTGCCACATCAACTAACTCCAACGTTTCCAGGTCTGTGTTCGCTCTGAACATGGCTATGGTTCACTGAAGGGATGCTTCCAGTTCCTTCGTGAACTGTAGATCCAAATCCAGACACAGTGAGACCTAGATGAAGCACATATATGGATGAGGTGCTGTATAATTCTCCATAACTTGATCATTGAAATTGAGGAAAAACTCACCACCAATGACTCATTTCAGCACTTTGCTCATGTAGTGAGACAGTGGGGTAGACATAAAGATGGTGGTAAGGAAGAAGGTGGCGAGAATGGCGAGGACAGTGAGGACGATGCTGGAGATGAGAGCTTCATTGGTTCAGAGAGGAAAATTTTGTGTAATAGCTGATGAGCCACTTATTGTGCAGATCTGAATGAGCAATGCAACAAAAGTGAAGCTCAATTCAAATACATATATACATGATTAGCTACAATGAAAAAAGCTGGCCCTAGAATGCAGTATGAATTTGTGAGAAATTGCACAGCAGGGATGAAAAATACTGAATGATGTAAGACTGTTATTTACCCTGATGAGACATCTCCCTCTCTAAAGCCAAGTGCTCTAACTTCACTCAGAGTTTGTAACCTGGGTGTACTTGGTAGCACTTCATTAACCAGCTGATGAAACTGATTGTGTCACCTTCCATAAGCTGAGCTAAGGGGGTCTAATTGATTCCACAAGAGTCTTTACTATGGAGTCCACCACTGTCAGGACTACCACCACCGCTGTGGTGAGTTGGGGTTCGGCAAAGGTGGAGGGGCAGTAGTCCACAGTCTTGTGGAACTGCAGATGACTCTTAATGCACAGGTCATTGTCTATGATGGTCTTCCAATCGGGCAATGACACAAAGATGCCAGCCTTGGAGTGCTCCCGTACTATGGCGGCACAGGATAGCAGCTGAGGAGAGAACAATGTAGCACTCCCCCCATAAAGCTTCAAATCTTTTGCCTGCACCAAATTGAGTTAGTTATCCAAAAATATGGTACAGATCTGGTGGAGCGAAACTCATCATCTGGCAATCTCATCTAATAATGTCAGTGTGCCTGGATCACTTTCCTTTAATTTCATACAATGCTTCATCAACAATTGTATAGTCTTGAGTGTAGCCTGGAGAGTGTTATTTGCAATTTCCGAAGGTGTCATAATGGTATATAGAATTTAGTGAGCAACAGGTGATGGTATACACAAAGAAAGATAACTTTGATTATTTTTCATAAGTCTTAGGATTTATACTCATACTTCGGTTATGGGCATTTCCAAGAATGCATGGCCATTGTCAAAGCAGTGCTATGGACCCGTTAATAACATAGTCACATAATATAACTTCTTCTGTGATTATTGTTGCAGTCAACATACAAGGAAGATTGAGTGAGGCTAAATTCTGAATCATTATAGTCATAAGCAATGTTCTATGGTGTAAATGTATTTTGTTTAAATCCCAGATATTAATGAGAATTCCATTTACTCACAAAAGAGAGTCTCAGGTTGTGGCATGGTAGTATATTTTGGATGACTGTAACCAAGTCAGAGTCTCAAGAGTATGTAATTTGAGAGGCAGTGACCTTCCTTCTTGCCTCAACACCATGAGGAGTTGTTCTGTAGAAATAGACTTTCTTTACATATATCAATAATCCTAAGAAATATATATTATTCCAAATCCAAATTGCATCAAGTCCTACTCCAAATTGGACAATTGGGTGAAAACACTGAGTCTAAGACCTTTGAGTTGACTGAGTTGGGCTAATATGTATGCAAGTTCCTTCTCACAATGTGTTACAGTTTCAACTGATGCTAGTTGATGTAACTGCAAGGATGATGGAGTAGATTGTGGAAGGAATAGTGGTGGAGGGATGGGGGTGGTGATAGCAGAGAAGATGGAGGTAAAATCTGCAGAAAGGATGACCTTAAGAAAGGTCATGGTTGGAGTGCAGGCGGCCATGGAATTGGTTTAACTTGTGGAGGGCAGGCTGTTACTACCAGCTTATGAGTTTCCTGCTAAGGATTTTGACAGAAGCTTTGACTGTATTGTTATCAGTGACCACGATTATACTGATTCATAAAGCTTGCTGTAGAATTGAAAGTCACTTCAATGACTCTAAGGTTATTGTTGGGCACTATAGTATTATTAGCATATTTTTGATCATTGAGAGAGAAAAAAGGTGCTATTGGGTATCTTCAATGATATCTATCATTGCAAATATTATGATGGCTAGTGCAGATGTAGGAGATAGCCCCACTGCCAGAAGTTCTATTCCAAAGTATTTAAACTTAGGCAACAATCATACCAGAGCCCACATGTAGCTGTATATAAATTATAAAGTCTAAACTGACACCAGGACCAACCACATACAACAGCCTAGAATTGTGACATTAATTGACTCAATTTAATTATGAGTGCATCAGTAATTATTACCATACCAAAACTGAGTAGAGTAAACATGCACCATTGACACTTATGTTATTGTACTGAAAGCCTTTGTGATCATGATCCACTCAATTGTTGGACATGCTAAAGATGTCAAACAATTTTTTTTAGATCTCAAAACTACACAGTCTACAAAGTGCTGCAATCTGTTGTAACAAAAAAGCTACCAAAGCTGATAAGTCTACTCGTCATTGTCATGCCTATATGCACACCCATAAATAACACACTGGTGTTCTTCCTGCTTAAGTAACACACTCAGTGCCTGAGCAGCACATTTTGAATTAATCCACATCTTGACTGGAGGATACAGAACATGTGTTGCTATACCAGACATCAGAACATGATCACAAGTATTGGCATATATGGAAGCTCATGTATCTTGAAGGCAACCTTAGCCCTGTCTATATGAGATGATAATTCCTGGGCATGGACCGAATGTGTACCTGAGTTAATAATACTATAAATACTACACCAATCCAGATATTATTCTGATCTTGTAGATCTTTAGTCATGTATTGAGGTTGAAGCATACAACAAGACGTGGTCAAAGATTGATTTAAGCTCCAATATCAGACTTCAAACCGGGACTGCTATACTGACATTATAATATCCTTCAATTTCTCAAATTGACCTGATTATTCACCTCTACAGTACACATTTCTGTATCTTTTATGTGTCTAACTGTGCTATTATACTTGTAGTATTATTTCTTGTACTTTGCTACCTACTTACATGACTTCCTGACCTCTCTAGCACATACCTAGGTTGAGTTATTACTTATCTTTTGATTGTAGCTTGTCTGTTTATATTTGTTTACCATACATCACCCATATCCCAGAGTCCAGTACTTCCTGCCTCTTTGGCAACTTACTCTGGACTCTAGTCTGATCTCTTCTGGCTCTTAGTAGTCTCTAGAAGCGGCCTACTTCACTCTCATCTTAACAAAAGGTAGCCATATAACTACATATATGTAGTTATAAAAGCCAAAACCAAGAGTCCAAAGTAAGTTGCCAATCTATTAAATGGTATAATGAAGTTGTACAGTACCTAGAGTCCAGAGTAAGTTGCCAAAGAGACAGGGAGTACTGGACTCTGAAATATGGGTGATGTATAATAAATACATGTAAATGCACAAGCTACAATTAAGAGGTAAGTAATAACTTGACCTAGGAATGTCCTAGAGAGGTCAGGAAGTTATGTAAGTAGGTAACAAAGTGCAAGGAATGATACTATAAGTGTAATAGCACAGGTAGACATATAAAAGACATCAAAATGTGTACTGTAGAGGTGAATGATCATATAACTAATAGTTATCTGTACCAATCCTAAGGCAGGTAGTCAGTCCTAAGTGCTAGTGCTAGTATTGCATACAAGCCTTTCTCCTCTAATTAATAACAGAACACTGATATTTTATGAAACACCATATCTATTATATCTTGTGATTTGGCTTCCTGTTGGAAGCTTGATAAGTCATCAAGATTCTATTGACTCAGAATGTGACATATTTAATAATGAATATGAACCAAAGTGTTTCCCTCAGATTGGCATATTCCTAACTGAAGGCAAGTGCCTGTTTCATAGTTATAATGGTTTGCAGATATTATTAAAGAAGCTCTTTGACAGGCCAGCTGTGCTCCAACTTAGCAAGATCTTCTATTCATAACATTGTCAATAAGTTAATTAACTATACAGAAGCCATGGGCTCCAATGAGTCAGGTAATCCAGCATGCAAATTCTATAATAACTCAAATATTTTAACTAAATTTATAGTTAGAAATTGCTTATATTCAAAATTGTTGCATAACAAATAAGTTGACTCCTCTGTGTTATCAGTATCTAAGTTGCTAATGTATTGAATAATATAGTGAAGTTATATAGTACCATAAGTTGCAAAAGAGGCAGGAAGCACTGGACTCTGGGATATAGATGACATATGGTAAACAAATGTAAACAGACAAGTCACAATCTAATAGTAAGCAATAACTCGACCTAGGAAGATCAAGAAGTCATATAGATAGGTAGCAAAGTGCAAGGAATAATACTATAAAGAAATGTGTACTATAGAGGTAAATAATTATATATAACTAATATATTGGTCTTGATGTGTAAATGATAAGCACACGCTAGCAACACTCAATGCTAAACTACTTATTTTCAATTTAATGCTTAAGGTAATTCAGGTCTTTTTCAGCTATACTAATAACTACATCATTAATTGCTCATTCCAAAACTACATTGGATGTCCTTTAATGTCCCCTATCAATGATCTAAGACACCATTGGAACACTCCAAAGATGCACTTTTGGAAGCACATAACTCTTGGCAAGACAACTGAATAGTACTCATCTGAATCAGAAGCTCACCTTTATTTCAACACCATATCTTTCTTGGGCTTCTACTTGGAAATTCCACTTAGTTTGTACTAGTATCATTCTTCACATGCACCTACACATACAGGCCCACCCTTCTAGCATATTGCCATCATTTGGATAGTGCCTTCTGAAGCATCTTACTTACCCTCTGCTGAACAAAAATCAAGCATACCTTATATCACACTGACTCTACTTTCAGTACCAGCTCTACTCCTGATAGAATTCTCTATGCTATTCCTACCTTCTTCCTATGATTACCTTAACAACCACAAGAAGCAATATTATGCTCTTCAATGTACCAAGAGATCAAGAATGGCATTCCACAGTCTCATAGTCCCAATACTTGTCTATATTTCTTTTGTGTTTTTTTTTTCTAATTTATGGTGGAATTATGTTTAAACGAAATGGGCGAAAGTGCCTCCATCACCACTCTGGATGCAGGAACCCTCACCACAGACAGAGAAGGAATGACCACCATAGGAGAGCTGGTGCCCATGCTACTCCTAAAAATCAATGTCTGTCCACAACTCACAGAGTATCAGCACAATCTCTTGCTTCACTTTTCACACGGAGTCATCACCCTCATGTGACCCAATGCCTCTAAGGAATTTTGCCTAAAGGAGGCGCTCAAAGAAGTAAGCATGGCTTTAAAGCCCTTGGTGAGGTTCCGCGTGACTTGTGGGGTAAGTTCTACATTTCTTTTTTCAATCTTGCTGCTCATGATATGACAGTCAGTACACAAGCTTGGCAAGGTCGGCGACAGTGAGTGGGTTGCCACAGAAAAGCCTGGTTTGCTGGCTTCACAGAATACAGATCGCAAGGCTCTGGAGAGGGCTATCCTGTTGGATGTACAGAAATGGATGATGGAGGATCCCAACATTACAAAACGGCGGAGTGCACTTGTCCTCACCACTAAGGTGGCGCAGCCAGTGTGGGAACACTTCACCACCATACATGACACATTAGTGCCCCTCGTCATCAAGGCAAGTACCATTTCCTTTCAACGTGGTCATGGAATGCTAAACCCTTCCCAGGTGTCTGGATATAGTGGGTCCAAGGAAAGGCCCATTATTGATACATGCTGTGAAGCAGTACCAGATCGGGGAGGCTTACATCAAGGCTGCGCAATATGTTATCTACAAAAAGGAAACCCTCTGCAGTTGCAACTGGGACAAGCTCAAGGATGCTCTTGCAAATAGGAAGGCCCGCAGCATTCAGACTACCGTGGAGGACATTGTAAAGGTTGCGAAAGGTCTGCTGGCAAAAGACCTACCTTCTTGAGTCTACTATTGTACTTAACGCTTGTGATTGTTAAGTTCGCTTTTGTCGGAGTAGGATATGGTCATGAAGTTCTAACAAGATTCTTCATGTGGTATGGCTCGAACAAAGGGAGGTTATGTTAGTTATATGATCATTCACCTCTACAGTACACATTTCTATGTCTTTTATATGTCTAATTGTACCATTATACTTACAGTATCATTCCTTGCACTTTGCTACCTATTTATATGACTTCCTAATCTCTCTAGGATGTCCCTAGGTCAAGTTATTACTTACCTTTGGATTGTGACTTGTCTATTTACATTTGTTTACCATATGTCACCCATATCCTAAAGTCTAGTGCTTCCTACCTCTTTGGCAACTTACTTTGGGCTCTAGGTACTGTATAACTTCACTATGTCATTCAATAGATAGGCAACTTACTCTGGACTCTAGTCTGATCTCTTCTGGTCTCTCAGCTGGTAGCCTCTAGAAGTGGCCTACTTCACTCTCATCTTAACAGGCTCTGAGGAGAGCTTGACTAAAAAGATGCAAACAAGGAGTTTGAGAGTATATAACAAAACATTTCATATATAACAAAATTTCTAACCAATGAGACATTTGTTCTTTATTTGACAAAAATCAAGGTCCCACACAAGATGAAAATGTCTTTAATGACCATCTGCTACAAGATAGTAGTATCATTCTAACTCCTCAACTACACCAACCTCCTACCCTTTTGTTTGACCACAATGAGTTGGAAAGCACAATGGTCCTGGACACCAAGGACCTATTTGGGCAGAACATATTATTTGGCACCTTGCTCACAGATGTTCTATACAGCCACTACGGTGTAGAGACTCATGCCTCTCATTGTGCAATATGGCAGTTTTCACTGGGGAGTACATGGCACGAACTTGTAGCATCACTCTGTGTGCTACCTGCAGCTATCTCTATATGAGGTGCAGCTTTCCCGCGCAACGCGCGCCATGCGCGCGTACCTTTCCCGCGCTTCACGATGTATATGCGCGCGCGCTTTCCCGCGCTTGAGCGCCCTATAGCGCCAGCCATCCGGAAGCATCCATCCACTGTCCACCAAGTTCCCTAGTGCGTATATTTCCATTTCTCACATTTGCTTATCGTTCCATCTTTATTTTTATCATGGACCCTTACTTACATATATCTTTACATACCTTACTCGGTAGCGCTTCGGCTCCGCATGACAGCGCTTAGGCGCCATACTTAAGCGCCAGCAGTACATACTATGACTTACGGACCCACCAGGACAAACTGACTCTCCCACCAGAACAACAGAGGACTTACTGGTTACTACCCACTATTTACCTAGCAGAACATAGTAGAAATCTATTTGTTTACACCTCGCATCTCTCTTCTCTTGTCTTACATCATACCATCACTTAAGCAAACTCACTCTTACTCTCTCTCGTATCTGTACACACGCGCACGCCTTCCCACGCTCCGCGCCATACAAGCGCGCATTCCCGCGCCTTGCGCGCACCTGCGCTTTCTCGCGCTTCGCATTGGCCAACCAGTAGCGCTTTCAGCGCATACCTCTAGATCCTTGCTGCACTCGCTTCCCCTTTAGGGTCGAACGCACTTGTCGTCTCAAGTATAGCAGACTAGGCAACGCGCGACCTTACAACAATTATAGATACAGTCAGGAGCACTGTTCGTGCCTCGCTGTATCGTTGAACCTTCAACGGGCTTCTCTGCAGCATGCAATCTGAAATACAGTCTGCCAAAGACTCCACACCTATTGAAGAATCTCACATAGTTAACACCTTACTATTTAGCTACCTTAATGGAATTCTCTGGTGTCTGTATGAATGAAAACTGGCCTATGATAGTTCCACTTGAGCTTCCCATTGGTAAACTATGTCTGGATCTGCTGAATTATGCAATTTTGCAAATGCTTTGGCACTTTCAGCTGCCCCTTGTTTGGCCTCTTTGTACTTCCATGACAAAACACCCCTAATACAAGTGAATTAACTCCATGTGTGAAATGTAGATAGGACCAACCCATCTGAATTATCTTCATGAAGTTGCAGTTGTTCATCTGATAGTCCAGGCATTCTTGTCTATGCAGAGTAGACATACCCCAACATGATGAAGATACAATGTTCAGGGGTACCTATAGCATTTCCATGATCTCTCTGTTGATCCTGGCTGTCCCTGGGATAAAGTTGGATGCATACCAAACAAAGCATTTATCCTGATTCCTATGAACATGCCATAATCCAATTCCCAGGATGATGTCCATCCCCAAAGAAATGTTCATGTGCATGCTGTCATCTACCCATCTCTGAAAGTATTTGTTATACTGACAATCAACATCATAGAAAGTAAATTCATCAAAGTCATCGGACAAGAGCTCTCTCTGTGTATCTTGATGGACAATGGTCTTAGTGTTGCCTGAGGAAATAGTGGACAGCAAGGGAAATTTTTGTTGAGATGGGAATGAAGTGGGCCGCTTCTAGAGGCTACTGAAAGACCAGAAGAGATCAGACTAGAGTCCAGAGTAAGTTGCCAATCTATTGAATGGTGTAGTGAAGTTGTACAGTACCTAGAGTCCAGAGTAAGTTGGTAAAGAGGCAGGAAACACTGGACTCTGGGATATGGGCGACGTATGAGTCCAGAGTAAGTGGGCAAAGAGGCAGTAAGCACTGGACTCTGGGATATGGGCAACATATGGTAAACAAATGTAAACAGACAAGCCACAATCAAAGGGTAAGTAATAACTCGACCTAGGGACGACCTAAGGAGATCAGGAAGTCATGTAAATAGGTAGAAAAGTGTAAGGAATGATACCATAAGTGTAATGGCATAGTTAGACAAATAAAAGACATAGAAATGCATACTGTAGAGGTGAATAATCATATAACTAACAACATTTGCTCAAGGAAGTGATCAAACAGGACTCATATTAGTGATATCATTCCAGTCACTCAGTTTAAGAGACCCATTAATGTTGTCCCTCGCTTTGGCGCAAGTACAGAAAATTATCTCACCCAATATAACATCATCAAATACTCATTAGAATTCTAAATGTAACACAAGAGGCCCAATGTTCTGTTATAGATCTTTTATGCACTTTTTTTTCTACTTTTGTATCAGTCTAGGATATTTTTAGTTACTATGTGGCAGCAATAAGCCCTCTGCTGTCTCACTTTTTTTTGCTGAAGCACTGAGTGCCTACCTGTCAATATGGCATACTTTTATAGAATGGTTGGTGATGGAATCAAACTAGCATCACTAATATCACTCCCCAAAATCAACACCCCTACTATGAACAATTGACCTCTGTTGAACTTGATTGATCAGTTACAACTGAACCTCAACCTGAGGAGGACTCGCTAGGCCACCTACTCCCTCTCATTTTCAAACCTTTCACAGTCCCTATTCCATTGGTAGCCAAACTCATAATCAAAGTTAGTAAAAACATATATTGCAACAAACACATTAATAACACATTTGCCTAAACAGCCCACATAATATCATGTTATTGTATGATACCAATGCAGGCACCTCCATGGCTGGAACATAGCCAAAACTGCACCATCTGCAATTTGAATATAGAATGCAGCTCATTCAATGACTCTTATGGAAGGCACTGAAATCAGGTATGAACTGGATCTCATCTTGATCTTTCACTAGTGGCCATAATGACCTTAGAGTCTTATTGTATAACCATTTTGGTAGTATCATGTCTCCCTACTGCAACATCAACCACTAGCCTAATACATTTGCCCAAATTATTGCTATTATTGTTTTAGGTAGTCCAGAATGTATTGGATATAATGCCACAATTACTTCCTAGAAAAACATTCTGCTTCCTCCACTCCCAGGGTGCACATATGCCTGGCTACCATCTATTTAAAAACCATCCTGCTCAAGCTAATACTACTTGTGACATGTTGATCATGCCATCTCTTGATGCATTCCCTAAGGATCTCCAGGAAGGACCTTCTAGTGGCACCCTTAAGCACAAACTAATACCTCTTTGTGACTTTTCTCACAACTCAAGAGAAGAACATCTCATTTCTTTTCCTTCCTTCTCTTCCCCTCATCTTCCACTTCCACCCCTTGAAGCTACTAGTACTCCCTTTTTGTGCAGGCTTCTTGTGCAGGCTTCTTGTGCAGGTTGTTGCAGGTGCAAGCTACAAAGCAACAATCTAGAAATCATCCTCCAACACACCCATACTGCCAATATCTTGCATCTCACAAAGCTATGCAGATGACCTTGAGTCTCTCTTTTACGTGTTCATTTACATTTGCATCAAATACAGCAGCCCTCATGGTAAGGAGCATCAAGAGCCTGCAAAGGACTCACTACATGAGATGTTATTAGATAGCTGGATGACCCTTGACCTAAATGCCTACAAGTTAAAAATAGTCTATTTTTTGGCAGTTTCATCAAAGGAAGCTCATATCATCAATTAATTTCACCTAGATTTTGCTGACCTGATCCCCCTGACAAAAGAGTGATGTACATTGTTAAAGGACAGCAGGAGATACAAATGATTTTCAACAGTGTACTTGATGTGCTTGAGCACCATTTTGCCACTCTTCTGGAAGATGTCTCCTTATTCTCATCTACCAAGAAGAACCTCAAGAAATATAATATACATACTAGCATTTACCCTCTCACCATCCTTCATTCTTGTGCTGGTCTGGTTCCACCTCACATACATTCTGCACCCATATCCCCCCCCCCCCAAAAACCCCATGCTGAGGCTCAGCATATTGAGTACAGTGGATTCTATAACTAGGACAATATGGATTGTGCAGCTTGCTGGGCCCAGTATCTCCAATCTTGCTGTCAGGCATGATCACTACACCTTGGGAGGTCTTGCAAATGGATGGCTTCAGAATATCATTGTCACGATTTCCATACCCTTGTGCTTGTGTCATGAAAGAGGTGATTGGAACTTGGCTACATGTTCACCTAGAGCAGAAGAATATTATCTTCATATGGATTGTGTGGTCCATTGTTGATAACAGTGAGTTTCTTTTGATCAGGTGGATGGCTGCTTATCATATCTACAGGTAATGTACTAAAATGATCTGTTGATCAAGCCACCAATGAACTCATCTCCTCCTCCGCTGCTGCTGCCTCTGCCTCTGCCTCCTCCTCCTCTACTTCTATGTCTTCTACTACTTCTGTGCTCTTTACCATATAAGCCTTTTCCTAGTGCTTACATGTTAGTTATATGATCATTCACCTCTACAGCTTACTCTGGACTCTAGTCTGATCTCTTCTAGTCTCTCAGTAGCCTCTAGAAGCAGCCCACTTCATTCACATCTCAACATTACATGCCTTGTAGATTTGTTTGCCATGTGCCTGGCATTCCTTGTTCTTAGCAACACATTCCATAAGCTTGTCACTTGTGAGCTTTATCCATGAGCATGTTCCTTTTAAAAGTAAGTTATACAGCTCAATCAAGTCTTTGTGATGCCCAATCTTTCCAGGATTTTAAATAGTGACAGGAAAATTTTCCAGTGCAACACCATAAGTTTTCACAATCTTGCCTTTATTATTATCATAATTCATTTTGACCTTCTTTTTTGGTGAATGACTTAAAGTAGGAAAAATAATGTCTATATAACTAATGTTGGGAAATGGCCCTATGAAGACTTACAGCTCAACCTGTCAAGTCTGTCTTGGATGTGCTGGCAGTATAGGCTAATATGTTTTGTTAATGACAGTTGTTGGCTGGCTGTGCCAGCACTATCTACATGAAAGTTGAGTAAGTCATGTTCATTATGTGTTCTTTGCTTACCAAAATTTTTAACTACCCAAGACTCAACTTTGAGCACAAAGTGCTTCAGCTCCATGCTGAGAACATCTTTGATGAATGACCTGCCCTTGGCTGTGTAAAAAGTTTTGGCTTGTGGTATTGTTTGACATCACCCTGAACTGCAATATACATTTCCTTGAGGCCTGTATGTGCTTGGATGCTAGTCCACTGTTTGACTACCAGTAAGTAACTTAGGTGCAGTCTGGACAGCGAGTCTGGGTTCAGAATTCGCAGTTCAAAACTGCATGTGATGCTCACACATGATACATGAATCAGCTTCTTCCTGCCTATGAATCTTATCGATTGCTGCATCTACAACGCCGCAGTATCGATTGCTGCGTCCACAATGTCACAGTGCACATGGACCTTGAGGCACAAACACAGTGTCAATGGCACCAAATTATGATTATCATAACTATTACTGTCACTCAGATCACATACCTATACAATCTTCTGTTCTTTTCCTGCACCGAAAGGATTCCGTATCACACCTCTATCCTCACCGGCCAAGCTTGGGTATTTGAACTGATCAGTGGTCATCCAGACTGGATCAGACATAACTTCGGTGTTGATCTTCACACATTTGAGCAATTGATAGAGGCTCTTCACCAACATGGGTTCATTCAATCCTGCAACAGTGTCACCATTGCGGAACAACTCGGTATTTTCTTGTATACATGCGTTATGGGAGTTTCATCTTGTCACATTGGAGAAAGATTCCAGCGCTCTCCTGACACAATTACTAGGTATGTACATTAATTATCTGAGACTAGTAGTGTGCTGATTTTTGCAGATGTTTCAAGCACATCCTTATGTTCTTCTCATCACCTCCGTTCTACACCTCATATGTCCAGTTTCCCAACCACAACACCCCCATTTTGGCAGCAGTCTACATGGACCCACAATTCAGATTCTTTGATGAGTGTATTGGTGCTGTTAACGGTACTCACATCCATGTCTTCGCACCACTTGAAGAGCACATTAACCTATGTAACCGGAAGGGATTTCTCTCGCAAAACTGCCTGTTTGTATGCGACTTAGATTTCTATTTCACATATTCGCTCACAGGCTGGGACAGCTTGGCTGCTGATGCAACCCTTTGGAATGACGCGCGCTCTCACGATCTGCATATGCCTCCACACAAGCACCTTCTCGCTGATGTGGGCTTCAGTACTTGTGATGTGCTTCTAGTACCTTATTGGGGGGTGCGATATCACTTAAAAGAATGGCACCAAGCAAACCTTGTGTAAGTTGATTTGTTTTACATCTGTTTTGCTATTAAATAATTATATAGGCCACAGGACTCAAAAGAACTATTTAATCTACGACACGTGGCACTATGCAACATCGTTGAACGTATATTTGGTGTATTGAAGCGGCAATGGCGTGTTTTGACAATCGTGCCCAAATACAACATGGATATCCAGGCCCGGATCCCAGCAGCACTATGCGCTATTCACAATTTTATGCAAAGGTATAATCCCAAAAGTTTTGATCTCGCTCTTGACCATGACACTGTAGGATACGGGACACTTTCTGAAGGACCCACGGATACTCATGAATGGAGACGAGCAGATGCTCGTCAGGAGGCAATAGCACTAGCGATGTGGGCTGACTATCTTGAGGAACATGAACGAAGGGGACTCCCATTGCCATAGTTGTAGATATTGTACAAATTTTGTAACAAAAAATGATCAGCACGCTACACAATCATATGGTCCTGTGAATGAACTGCCGCCCATGGCGCACCACTGCAAAGCACTCGTTTCTCTTCCAACCACTCGAGCCTCGTCACCTCGTCCAATGAATAAAAAATAATTGCTTGGTTTTCATGTTCAGCTAAAAAGTTTGTGATGGCTAAGCGTTCTTTACCACTTAGGTCTGTGTACTTATTGAGTAAAGAAATAGCACTCCCAATGTGCATGGAAGGCTGTGATTGCACCGGCAGCTGTGGTGGCACTAACATGATGTTCTTCTGCATCTCACGCACGACTTCAACGAGGCTCTTCATCATTTCAGTACCCTCCTGCTGCACTAACAACATGGCAGATGACGGATGACTGCGCTTCTGGGAACTCATAATTGATGCAGGAGAAACCATGCTGAATTTGCGCTTTCCACGGCATACTTGTCCATACCGAGTTGGTAGAACCTTCGGTGGAGGGACAGAGAAATGTAGAGGGAGCAGGTACTTCAAGGGAGTCGGGATCTACCGATGATGGTGGCCCTTGAAGGGCATTATCTATTGCAGTGGGGATCAAAGGTGACGTAGAGGTGGTAGAATCTTGAGGAGTTGCATTGCTCGTGGCGGTGGGTTGGAAGACATGCAAACCTTTGGCCTTACTTGGTACCAATTGTTCCATGGTCTTGAAGTGATTGAAGCCCTTCATGATGAAGGGCTTTGCGTAAGGGTGTGTCTGAAAGTAATGTTATGAAAGGGTGGCGTGCAATCTATGATGATGCGTACCTTGGTAAAGTGTGCCCATACATCATCTTTTCAATCCATTATACCCACCCCATGCTCATTACTCAACATAAAACCCGATGTGCACTTGATTTCGACAACAGTGTAATATGCTTTCTTGAGCTATAAAAACATGAGATGACATTGCTGACTGAAACATTCAATAGAAACATACCGCTGTGAATTTATTCTTGCACACCACACCAGTCTTCTCTGTGCCCCTTTGATGTGGGTATTTGAGTTTGAGGTCCACAGATGCTTGATTGAAAGTTGCCATCTTGAAGCCTCCATCACCTGATGAAGGCAGGGCGAGCAGAAGGAAGTTGAGGAAGATACTTTCCTCCGCCTTTGACCAGACCGCAGGAGCCTTGTGGATCGTTCCAGAGGCAGCAGCCAAGGCCACATTAATGGCGCCTCGAGATCACAGGAAATGTGAAGAGCTGATACTAAATTTATCAGACATGTCAGCGAGGTGATGGTGATGGTAGAGATTTGGTCGGCTGATCCTGCTCACGTATGAGCATCACATGCAGTTTTGAACCGCGAATTCTGAACCCAGACTCGCTGTCCAGACTGCACCTAACATATATGTATATTATTTGATATAGGTATCTTAGTCTGCATTGTTTTGAATGTTGCATTGACGTCCCTTTGTAATGCCTTAGGGTTTGCACATGTAACCTTCACACATAACATGCAAAGTGCATTAATATTCTCCCAAAGGCAGGTTCTTGTCAGCCAGCATCAAGCACAAATAACTGGACACTAACTATGACCTGTTGGCCTTGATAAATGCAGGAGGTTTTAGTTCATCCCCTAGTGCACATCCTTTCATTTGCATCAGTCCTGGTGTAAAAAATTCCAAGTCAGGACTTGGTAAGTACCTATGTTCTTGTTGTTCAGTTTTTGTCTGACAAATGCATTCCAGGGATCAGCATGGTGTTTGTTGAAAACACTTTTGCTGGCATGGAGTTGCCTTCATGTCTATTTCAAAGTTCTGTTCAATAATGAGTACTATGAACTCAATAGTACAGACCTCCTCTTGATACACATTTTGCGCTGTTGTGATAGCATTGGTGAGCTTCACTAGTTATTCACAATGTACAAACTTTTGGATACCATCTGATAGCTTGGTGTGGACATGTTTGGATTTGGATGTTGACACAGTGACCATGGTTAGTGTGTGTTAAGAATGGGGTACCTTGTGTTTAAAGGACATTTAATTATACTTTGCAATTGTAAATTTTATTTCACTTGGAAACACTTAAGCCAAAAAATTCAGAGCGGGAATTCATATTTCATATAAAAACACTTGATCAGGCATCCACAAAACCAATCAAATTTTAGGCACTGATATACTACAGCTATACTACTGATAACAACAGTCTATATATGAATCTTCCTAGTTGATTCTTATCATGATTTCCTGAATAAAGTTAATGAGACATTAAGCCCAGCATTGAGTGAATAATTTACATTTTGTATGGAAATAACTGGCTGGTTATTCACTACAGCATTGTATGGTGGGGGTAACCCAGATTGTTCAGCACCTAGACTCTGAAGACCACCATCATACACAGAAAATGATAATGGAAAGTTTGAGTAGGGTTGGCTCCATATTGGCCCATAGCACCAATCACTGGCTTCTTGTTTGGAATTAAAGCAAGATGTGGAATTATGAGGTGCTTCCTGCACAGCCATAACTACATTGGTCTTAAAATAAGTTCAGCAAAGAGCTGCTGAAAGGTCACACAAAATACTAACCTCAACAGATGACTCTAAAGAGATAGACTCCAAGAGATTGCGAGGAGGATTTTAAGTGGCTGCAATATTTGGTTGTGCTGGTGTGGGTTGCTGACCAGCCGAAGATGTAGTGTACTGATAGGTACTGGCCATAGGTCAATGACAATGAGTAGTCACAGTGGGTGTGGGCTGCTGCTGAGTAGCTGCAGAACTTGTGATGAAGTAGTCTAGTCCTTTAGATAGAGTCATGGGCATGGGCTGCCAACAAGTACACTGTCCTAGATACTAAGTCTCAAAGTCTGGACACTATAAAACTTGAGCTAAAGTTGGTGCAGGTTGTGAAGTGGTACATCTTGTAGTTGTTGATATATTTTGATGAGTCACAACAGGAGTATGAGACTCTTGAATAACTGCAGGAAGGGGAGAAAATGGTAGTAAAGCATGACTTCCATCCTGGAAGATGTTGTTTTGAGTAAAACTTTGAAAAAAAATTCAGAGTTTGACATAAATTACAAAAGTTTGAGACATGTACCTGAAGTGCTAGGTGACTTTTTCAACTACTATCAAAATCAGTCTTGTAGACCCTGTTATAATCAAGGAAGAAAAAATCTCCTTTAGTTAGTCCATCGTCGGATCTAGATTCATGTTGTTCAATTGCCATTGCATGGTTTCCAAAGGAGCAACTTTTCATGTGATGATGAGGACAGTGGGCTTATCTGGCCCATTATCAGGCAGTATTCTTGGTAGTCCAGGCATATGTTGATGAGAAGCATGTTATGGCTTAAAGAAAATTTGCACCTCCAGTGTCACAGTGATACTAGTTGCCTGAAATCCAAGGCAATATTTCAGTAAAATTAATCCCAGTTTGCAGCAAGATAGCACAGGACATAATATTTTATCATAGTTGTAGGCTAGATCAAGCCATGAGAGGCTTGCAATTGAGTTCTTGAACATTGGCATTGAAACTATGTCTGTTGGATGCCTACCTTTATTTTCACCATAATCTCACATGGAAGCAAATGCATGACCACAAAGTTTGGGACTTTCACTTTCAAGCGGATCAACCTAGAGGTGGCAGGTCACCAGGACAGTATTCTCTAGGTGAGACAAACATTGGGCTTGTAGTCTTGCACCAGTCATCTTCACCTTTTGCCCTATGTAAAGGACTCAGTAATGGCCAAGGATGTATCTTGATTACTAACTGGCTTTGGTGAACTTAGAAATTGTACTTGCTTGATCACCCCAAATACTGTAGCTGGAGCTGAAGAGATTGGCACATGACTTCAGTGTATCATCTGAGACCTTATTACCCACTGTGATTCTATAAAAGAAGGAAGTGTCAGAGGGAGAAGTGGGATGAATGGGGAGGGTAAGAGATCTATTTGAGGGAGTTACAGGTGATGACATTGTTGCAGGAAGTGAGAGGTTGTGTAATTTGTAATCATGCTATATATAAGCAAATATGGTCCATGCACACACTTGACACTCACCAGTAAAATTGACTTATAAAATATAGTAATCATTTTCTGTCCTAACAGTATATGCTGCAGGTTCACAGATACATCAATTCAAATTATGGTACAATACAGTAAAAAAAAACTATAAGAGCCTCCTCGGGACATGAGTTTGAAGCCCATCTTTCCAACCATATCACCACCTCTCTGGGTTCTGGCACACCCAATATGTATCTGCATCCTCGTCACTATCACTGCTGCAGCCACCACATTGTCCTCAACCTTTCATGCAGCATTACCCACCAATACTGCACCACTATGCGCACCATTATGCTCCACCACATTTTGTCCAGCAATATGCTGGCCAGCCTCAGTACCCACAGTACCCTCCAATGTGACTGAATACCGAAATAAGCCCAGCATTGTCAATGATGCAACCAAACTTGGAAGTTCCAGTAGCACCAGTGCTGGCATCATCGAAAGTGCCTGCATCATCAAACATACTGGCATCATCCCAAGCATCATCGAGGTTGTGACCAAATCCTGAACTGCGCTGTAGGTATACAACACAGAGTGGGGCTATACAAAGATGGCTCCAAACTGATATCTTTATGTTGTGGTCTATCTGCTATACTTGCAGACAAGTGCGTTCGACCCAGGGGTCTGCAGTCTGGGAATAGTTTTGGGGGTCAGTGGGTGATGTGAGGTCAATAATCTGAGCGCGGGAAACAATGTCCGAAGGTATAATTACGATGTCCGATGCAAAAGTGTCGGGTCCGATGTTTTTTGGGTTTGGGTTATCGGGTTTGGGTTTGGGTTATCAGAAACTAATAGTAATGCTATAGCGAGTGTCGGAAAAGCGAGCGATGTGCACAATAATAACAATGATGGATACAGATGGTGAAAGAACGATGATATTCGCAATGTCAACTAAGAACTACAAAATATTGGGTTTGACCCCTAAGTGTTGGAGACGATTCTCCTCTACTCGGATGATGATGATGCTATAATCATGGAGTAATGTACCATTGGATTGGTTTTGGACTATGGATGGATGTGAAATGTCAGCTGATGAAGCACGAGAAAAGCGCAGCTCAGCACAGCTGTGCATGTGCGCAGGAATGCTGCAGCCATCACAGGAAAGTAGTGGCTGCTAAGCGTGGCTTGCAGGAAAGCTGCACTTCATATAGTAAAGCAATAGGATGCTGAGGGATACTGCACAAATAGCCTCCATGAGGCTGTAAGGACTTCCAGTCCTACATCAGGATCATCACCTGAAGTCCATGTTACTATACAGAATATAACAGCAGATCCTACTGTAGCTAGGTCAAAGACTCCTAGTCCTCCACCACTTTCACAGCCACACCACTTTAAATCTGCATGCTAGATCCCTAGCGCATCACTTCCAGACTATCCAAAAGTCAGGGTGCTGCTTGGACTGATTGATGCCAAAAGACCAGAACACAACTTGGCAAACTCAAAATGCCCCTGCTAGATGTGAGGGTAGTTTCATTGAGCCAAGTAATACATCTACTAGAGGATGTGCTGAGTGTTATTGGCAATATGGGACAAAGGCGAGCCAGAATCCTTCGCAATTACACTAAATGGACTGTTCTACCACTCCTTGGACTCCTCAATTCCTACAAGGAATCAGAGATACCCAGCCCAGGGACTCATAATAAAGGCAAGGAACATGCTGTTGAGGCCGAGGATGACATGTGGGAGGAAGGAGAATCATGGATTGATAGGTATGGAAGTGGTGGATGCAACGAGTACACAAGCAATGATGAGACTGAGGGTCACAAGGAATTCCTGACCTGATACACATTAATTAATCACTTAGTAACATAGCACTGCTGGCATTTTCAACATGCTCCATAATGACCCCATTACAATGCAATATATTTGCTATGCTTATACCAACCATGAGCCTTTTCACTCATGACAATGCCATATACAGCTTCCCATATGAACCCACCAAGAATCGTAATTGGAAGTGTCGATCAGCAGCCCATGAAGGGCGAACAAGTCACCATGCTGGAGTCCCGCATGTCCGAGGTCTACAAAGAGAACCTGGATAAAGTTCGTGCTCAATTAAACGAGTTAGCTCAGCCTTTATGTGCTAAAGTGAGCGAAACGAACCTACCTCCTTTGTGTGCAATCAATCACACAATCCCCCTCATTGATGAGGGGAAGATCTACCTGTGGCGACCATCACACTGCCCAGAACCTTTGAGACCACAGTGGGCGGACAAGCGGAGATTGTACCTGGCCTCAGGTCACTGGCAAGTCACCAGCGCCGGGAACACTATTCCCATGCTGTTTATCCGTAAGCCAGGATCAGACAAACTACGTACTGTGGTGGACTTGCGTGAGCGAAATAAGAACACTAGGAAGTTGATGTCACCTCTGCCGAACATGGAGGGCATCCTGCGCTGAGTTGCTGGGAAGAAATTCAAGTCCGTCCTAGACGGACAGGATGCATATGAGCAGATAAGGGTGGTGCCGGAGCACGTGCACCACACTGCTATGACTACGCCTGATGGAAATATGGTTAGTCATGTTCTTCAGCAGGGTGACTGTAACGCGCCCACAACTTACCAGGCATTGATGAATTACCTGTTTGGCGAGTACCTTGGCACTTGGATGGATGTGTACCCACGACAAAGGTCACGGTTTGTCAGCGTTTTCCAGTTCAGGACGTTGTCGACCTTCTCCAGGTCCATCCGTATGCCATCCCTTCTGACTATCCTACCCAGGATCTTGACATCGTTGCACAGGAACTGAATCTTCTTTTGACTTAGGTACAGTTTCTCCCAGTCCAATATTTTTAGAATGGTCTTGACATGCTCAATGTGCTCATGTAGGGTGTCCGAATAGATTATGATATCATCAAGGTTCATCGGTTCCATAGGGTACTTGGCGGATGACATCTATCGAGTCTGTATCCTGTTAGGTGTGCTGTCGGAAGTAACTGGGGATGCTGTACCTTTTAAGTGGGACTATGCCCAGCAACACGCCTTTGAAACGATTAAGCAGTATGTGGCGACTTGTGCGCCACACTGTCGCATGCCCTTGGTGTACAGTCCAGAGGCGCCTACCATCTACATGATGACGGACAGTTGTTTGGGAGGAATAGGAGGTGTGGTTGCCCAGGGCGCAGACTGGTGTACGGCCAAGGTGGCCGCCTTTTATTCAGCCAAGCTGAACCCGGCCCAGCGCAACTACCCTGTGCATGAACAGGAAATGTTAGCGGGGGTTGAAATGATGTTAAGGCATAGGGACATCTTACAGGGTGCGAGGTTTGTGTGGCTTACAGACCACAAGGGGCTGGTTCACCTGCTGAACCAGCGTAATCTATCTGGCAGACAAGCAAGGTGGATTGAGAAGATAAGTGAATTTGATTTCGAAGTAAAGTACTTACCAGGTGTCGAGAACCTGTTGCCAGACACGCTGTTGAGAATGTATGCGTTTGACGCGCCTGGAACTGTGCGAACTCCTTGTGAGTACACGGAACATGACATTGGTAATGCCTTCACCAAAGTGGCCCACCTGGCATCGATGCCTTTCCTCGTGGGCGAGGAGGCACTGGCAACCAAGCCTCGAAGGAGTGCATGTGTGGCCCAACGCGTTGCGAGCACGCAAGACCAGCTGGTGATGCTGGATCTGTATGTCATGGGGTCTGACAGCGTGAAGAGAATGGCCGTTAGAAAGGGGGTCCTGGCAGTGCCAGAGGAAGTGGCCATCGCACCAGCGCCCAGGAAGGGACACCCGAAGGTAGCGCCAGCGGAGCCTGGGCGCCCTGAGACTGGGGCTGAGTTTGCCTGACATGTGAAAGATCGTTTCGTCCTCCTGGGCCCAGGAGAATGAAAGAAGGGGGGGAAGAGTGTAGACGCTCACCAACCTGACCCTTTGGAACCCATTAGCAGTGGCTCTAATATCACCCTAGAGGATGGACTTACCGAGCATTCATTAGTAGGGATACCATTACTGGTATATCCACAAGAGGAGCTGATGGGAGACATAAGACATCAGTACCATCTGGATCTGTTTTTGAAGAACATATTGGACTCACCTAAGGCATTCAAAAACTTTGAAGTAAAAGACGGAATTATATGAATCAAACTTAAAGACAGAACGGTTACGTGCGTACCAGATCTCAAAGTTGAGGAATGAAGGCTACAAGAGACAGTCATCAGCCAGGCACACTCCTTGTTAGCTCACTTGGGAGCACGTAAGATGCTCAGTTATCTTTGTGACCACATATGGTGGAAAATGATGGTGCAGGATGTCCACACCTATTGCGAGTCCTGCACAACCTGTCAATGGAGTAAGTCATCCAATCAACAGCCCTATGGGCTGTTGAACTCACTAACAGTGCCCTCCCACCCTTGGGAGGCAATAGGAATAGATTTTGTGGGGCCGTTGCCCATATCTAAGAACAGAGATGCTGGTCAGGTCTGATTTGGGTATTGCGCTGCTTTGTTTTTGTGGAAATCTAGATCTCCATCTTGTCTCTGCATAGCCATGCACTGCGTACTCAATTACTTTACTCATATATGATATAGTAAGGCATGAGCCAGGTGTCTCTTGTTTCCGCTCCTCCGACCTACCACGTTTTGTGGTGTGCCTTGTATTATGCCCATGCTGCTCCTGTAGACCTGACCAACATAATCTCCCTACCTAGATTCATGTGAGGAATAGGGCTAGAAAGCACTTCGTCATTAATATTCTCTGTACTCTCCACTTTGTAGCCCTGTATCAAAATGTATTTTGCTTTCGATTTTGTTTAAAAATCACGCGATCTTTCGTTGGACTTCAGTCTTTCAGCAAAGCGCATGTGTCCAACACACATGATCTTTCGTTCAACTTCATTGATTTCAGTCTGTCGCAGCATGTCCAACTCACATGATCTTTTGTTCAACTTCGTTGATTTCAATCTGTGCTACTCACATGATTTTTTGTTCAACTTCATTGAGTTCAGTCTGTCGCAGTGTGTCCAACTCATGTGATCTTTCATTCAACTTTGTATGCTCAAGGCAAATTCTTCCAAAGTTCGCAAGGTAACATTAACTTGACATTGAGCATAGAGTAAATAATTGTTATCACAATAACTACATGTTTTCAATTGTAAAATAGGACACGAAGGCATTAAAGTGCCGAGGCATATGTACTGCAAGAAATGTGATTATTTTTTAGACCTGCACAGATTGAAGTTTAGCATGATAAAACGGCTAGAACATTGGAACACGTACTTTTTCACAGCGACTGGATGGGCTGTGGAACCTGACGCCGCACCTTTGCGCTTGCATTTGGAAGTGAGGGGTTTGGTGTTATCGCCAATCTTGTTAGCATACTCAGCACATGTTGATGGTCATGTCATGCGTACAGAGCGTCTTCCAGGAGCGCCAGAAGTTGGAGGAACACTTCCTGCATTAAGCAAGACGTCTGGCACAGTGGGAATAGCAGTGGCGTCTTTAAGAGGTGCAGGTATGCCGCAAACAGATGGAAGAGAATCAGAGTTGGTGGCGGCTGGTAGACTATATCCTTCATTGTTGGCTGTGTGAAGGGAGTCGGCAGGAGGGAGTCGAGGAGACGCAGCAGCTGGTAGACTATGTCCTTCATTGTTGGCTGTGTGAAGGGAGTCAACAGGAGGGAGTCGAGGAGACATGGACAAAGGTGATGCGAAGTCATTCAAGTGCGGTCTGCAAATACAGGGTGGGGTGGATGAATAGCTTACCAATGAGTTGTTCTGGCCCTGCATGGGCAACTCAATAGGCGATCCAGGCACAGTCAGAGGAGGGTTTATGAGTGGTGGCGCAGCCATTTGCATGTCCTGGCTTTGGCTGTTCCACCATTGATTATCTGGGCTATCAACTATCAGTGGAGGAATCGAAGAAATGAACTTCTCAATCTCAGCCACAGCGACTGGAAAATTGGGGTCCATTAGAGAGCCCTGAGGGAAGGTATACATTTCAGAAAAATTGGGACCTGCATTGAGGTTACTGTTGGCTTGAACAGAGGAAGGTGGTTCAACTGCTGAGTTGTTCTGGGCATTTGGTGATGTGGAGTTAGAAGGTACCGGCAAATGTGGCTTGAGAATTGATGAAGACAAAGATGACTCCACCAAAGGTCGACCAAATACAGTTCTGAGATGCTGTTCAAATGGCACAAGGTACTGCTCATGGAAATTCAGTCTAGAAGCCTTGAAGCTGAGACCATCTTGACCTTTGCCATGGTGGAAACTGTAGGAGTAAGATGAGAACAAGTTTAGCACTGATATCATTGTCCATAGACATACCTTAGAGTCATGATATCCCCTTGGCACATGGGGTCAGGACCCTCCATAACAATGGTATAATGCCAGCCCCCCGTCAGTACCGCCAGGTCTTCACAGATCTGTCCCAGGACAATGGGCAGCTCCTGAATAGCACTGATCGACATTGATCAACATCCGCAAAATGGAAAACACAACAAAAAACAAACAAACTGATAAATTTCCTCTTTAGTGTGCTCACCTGACCCAATGCCTCCTAATCTCCTGGAAGCATTGATCTGCACGGTCTCCTCACAAATCACTGCCTTCACGTCTTCCGATTCAGCTGCAAAACAACTGTTTATGTACTTCTGCACAACACCAATCCTCTTCTTGGAATCAAGCTGGTTTTGCTGGATGTCGTCCTCGACCAGTGATTGTATCTTCATTTTGTAGTGTGTTTTTGAGTAGACCTCAATAGCCTTCAGGTCACGAACTCCGTGAGAACGCTGGCCCAGTAGTTGAGCAAATGCTTTGCTTGTTGATGTGTTGCCAAGTGTTGTTTTGCTTTTGGCGTGATTCCAGAACCATTCTCTCAATTTCTGCTTATGCCTTTAGTGGCTACTCTTCCAGAACACCTGTTATATGAACTTACCTTCCACCGGATCTCTTTTTCCTCTTCAAGCTCAGCTTCTTGTTCTGGGGTGAGTGGTAGCAGGCGGCTCTTGTCACTAATATTAGCGTCACTGCTGTCATCATTCTGATGAACAACTGCCTCCCCTTCGCACGGAGGAGGGTTACTGGTTGGTTTCCAATATTTCAAGCATTCTGGAAACTGACTAAACCACCTCGGAAATAGGAGCTCATAGAAACGAGTAAGTTTTTGATCTTTTTGCATTTTCAGAAACTCGGGTAGCTCATTCTGAAGCCACTCAAGCTCTTCTGATGTGGTCCATCTCGGAGGAGCCATCTCCTAAATTAAGTCCGTGAGTCCACACCACCCTTTCATGATAAAAATATGACGCACAAGAAATTTTTATGTTTGAGTTCGTCCCTTTCAGTCAATTGGTGAGTTATTGGGAGCGAGCCAAAATTCAACTGAGACCTTCATTTTTCTCCAGCCAATCACGATCTTAATGGATTTTTCCGAAGCGTCTAGACCACGTAAAGTTTCTCAGTCTCTCACCACCCTTACTACCATCCAACTATAGCTGTTTTTTCACAGACATGAACCAAGACAATGGCACCATCAGATGCGAGTGTCATGGGCGCTGCATGCAAATGCTACCGCACCCATGTTTTACAATTGAGCAATTTCTACAGGCCATCTATCTTGTGCAAAGCAGACAAGGCAAGTTCACTTTTGCGACATCACTGTGGCTCTAATCATAATGGACTTCAACAGTTGGACCAATGACCTCACCACAACCCATTGGTTGGGAACGCAACACTGACGGTGCTGATTGTTTAGTTCATGCTTTTCATTGTAGGTGCTGCATTTACGGTTAGTCATTTAAATTTAGACTCCATATCACGGACTCAATGTTGACCATGCTGCACAGCCCAACGACCTCATGATACCGGATCACAAGTAAACACCCGAGGAAGACCTGCCTGCCGCTGATGCGATCAATTGGGCATCAGAGAGTGATGACATCAGCCACCCAGACACCCCCCAAATTCGCACATACTACGAGGACAGCAGCGATGATGAACCTTCATCTCCACAAGGAGAAGGCGTTCCGGAGGAAAATCAATGGACCAGTGAGGAAGCGCCTGACAATGATGTCCAAGAGGCTCCTGAATGCGAGGTGGACAATATTTAATTAGCATTCCAAAGGTATCTCATATCTCGTTACCTTCTCATGTCATATATATACTGTCAATCAATCATGATGTGTTCAAGAATGTGTTGAGATCTGCAGTGAATGTGATTAATTCAGAATACATGATTGATTTTCATTGGTGTGGGTTTCAGTCTGACCGCCAGAGTGTTGCAACATGCTGTTGACTAGTTCAATAGTTTAATGGTAGTAGGATTATAATTTAGATGATGCATCTAAATCTGATCTATAGTGAATATGTTGCGTGGTTGAGATTCTCTCGAGTTGAATGGTTGATTTCTATTGGTGTTGGTTTAGGTCCTGACCATGATAGTGTTGCACTGAGGGACTAATTCAGTGCTCAATAGCTCAATGGTGGTAGGACCGTAATGTACTAACTCAATGCGTCTCGTGTAGAAAGAGTGTGTATTCATGATTAATATGTCAATATGAAAAACAACCTCCTGATTGTTTAAATGGACAATCCAAGATCTATTACAGAGTTGTGATATCAATACTATCAATTCAGCACAGGAGTTTTGGTCCTACCAACTCCTTCATTGCAGCTGTTTTGCCATGCCCAATTCAAACTTCAAATAAATTTTCAACCTATACTACGACTACTCTCTAGTTCAAATGGCTCGACCTCTTATTCATACAACAACTGAGGCAAAAAGAGTTGCCACACATGAAAAGCGAGCCCGGTATTACGCCAAGTATGTTTAACCTTTTCATTAATTGTTTCTGACAGTTCCTAACCAATCACGGTAAGACACAGAGATGCTATTCTTAAGAGACACAGAGAGCTCCATAGCTCCAACAGCAAGGAAGCATGAGCAGAGGCCAAGTTCTCAAATGACCTCTGCAAAGCTCTCAAAAAAGCATTGCCAGTCAGTGACAGTGATGAGTCTATGTTGGAGTCTGACAATGATTCTGATCACTCATCAGACAATGAAAATAAGCCGTATGTTTTAGCTATTAATAGATATAAAATGAAACATGATATTAATGTTCTACAGATGTGATCTTCCAGAATGCCTACTCGTCATCAAAAATGTCAAGGATCAAATGATGGAGATAGTCGGCGATGACCCTTGCACATTCACTAAGGATATTGTATATCTCCATGTCCAGAGTTTGCTTGTGGACGACTGCTCCACCAAAGGGGATATCACCATCATTGAAAATGCAATGACGAAGATTCAGAAGCTTCTGAACGATGCAATTCCCGCGCAAGACCAAATACTGAATTTCTGTGGTATTTCGCCAGAGTGGCACTGCCACGGACTCGGTGACACATTTCTTAAGGACCGTACTTGCCTATTTAGAGGATATCTTAAGTCTGGTAATGTTTGAAGGGGTGTCTGGCCTTGCTGAGGCAGAGTTTTTGGGTGAGCTGCTGTACCAGAAATGCAGCAGGATTTAAATAATGTTTGGTGGACATATATACTGTATCATAAAATAACATCAAGCCCCAGTCTTTTTTAATGTGGTGGTCACAGGTGTTGGTTGGCATTTTTTTAAAAAATTAGTAAGCTATGACAGCTGGTGGCAGGCGTTAGGCACCAAGCAATATTTTCACTACTACATGGCAAGGAGCAACAAACACTGCACAGAGCTCGAACGATACCGTCAGGAATTCTATGCTCACAACAGGGCAGCACGTCGTCTAGAAAATGACATCCATACTCACCAGAGGGTGGCACATCGTCTAGCAAATGAAATCTCACAAGATCATTGCAACAAGCAACAGCACAAGCATGCTAGCTTTGAGCTGGGTTCCACGGCTGGCCATCTTTCCATGTCTACTGCCTATTACACATTTCCTGATCCATCCAAACGAGGCCAACTCGAAGGAGACGCAGTAGATGACCCACCCAATGATTTGATTGACGAGTTTGATTTTTCAGATATCCAAATGATCGCCAATGACTATCTGAGTGAAATATCAGAGGAACCCATCAGATGGAAACAAGCTGCAGGGGTATGTTTGCCAGATGCCAATCTAGATCTTCTTTCAATCTAATTGTTTGTTCTCATAGGATGATCCTCTCCGTGTATGGCACTCCGATGCTGAACTTTTCCTTGAAGAATTCATTCATTTGGAGGGCTGTGGAAGTTACACTCAAGATCGCTGTTTCTGTGGCAGCAATGAATCACCACTGTATAGATGCAAGGATTGTCATGGTGCTGAACTAGTATGTCATCAATGTATCCTACATATACATTAGCGGCAACCATATCACCAGATCGAGGTATGACAATTCGCGATTCAAATCCCACTGATATCATATTTACTTTTTGTTGCAGTATTGGAACAGTCATTTTTTCCAAACAATGTCACTCAAATCCCTCGGCTTACGCATTCAACTTGGACATTGCTTTGGTCTTTGATGCAGCAAACCAACTCCAGCTCTCAACGAATGATTTTGTTGTCATTGACGTCAATGGCATTCATACCATTGGGCTTGATTTCTGCGGTTGCGAAACTGCTCAACTTCACATTACTCAACTTCTACAAGTCCGCTTATTCCCTGCGATGACAGTCAAACCCAAGACCACTGCAACATTCCAAGTGCTTGAATACTTCCAGATCCTATCCTTTGAGTCCAAAGCATCCAGCCCTCGAGTTTTATCACACTGTTGTACGATTGACTGACAATACAGGCATTCACACACCAAAGGTACATGGTTTTTTAAACTTATCTGCTAGCAAACTGACAAGTGAATTCAGGATCGCTACGAGTCACTTCTACGCATGATGCGAGAGTGGCACTTTTTGAAGCAAATCAAATGGTCTGGCCAGGGCCATCATCCTGGAACTATTGCTGCCACGCAACCTGGTGCATGTGCGGTGATGTGTCCAGCCTGCCCCCATCCAGGAAAGAATTTACCTGATGATTGGGCAAGTGTTCCGCCTGAGTCAAAGTGAGTTTTAATGTCTGTAGTTCATTGTTTTTGTGTCTTATAAGTTATTGAATGCAGATTCTTATATGCACTGTTCCTTGCAATTGACGCCAATTTTCGACTTGCTCGGCGCAATGTTTCTTCAGACGCTATCAATCCTGGACTCAACCATGGCTATGCGTTTTTCATGGAGGAAACAGCATACAAATCTTTCTTGAATTCACACGAACGAACAGTTCAAGAGGCAAGTCGAAATTATTGAACAAAGATGGCTATTAACATAATTTATTTAGAGGAGTACATGTTCAAGTCACAATGCAGTCAACCTGGCTGATACGAAGGCGTCCCGCGGTCTTGCAGCAACAGGCACAGGTACAATAGATTGCGCGCGACATAACTTCAAGCGGCCGAATTTGGTTGGTGACCTACAAAAAGGTGAAAGGTAAGCTTTTGCTTTCTACGTGTTGTATCTGTTTTAAACAAATTCACAGGTATGTCAATATGGATTACATGTTCTTTTCGAGCATGCAATCGGCATCTACACTTCAAGTTATCAATATTTCCTACGACATCACGTGTCAATGGAGCAAGAACCTGTGGACACGCATGTCCACATTCCCTCAGCAGTACCACCTGGATCACAACACGAAAACCATCACTTTTCTGGTCCCTAAGTTCCATCTTCCCGCACATGTCTTGAGCTGTCAGACGATGTACTCGTTCAACTTCATCAAGGGGGTCGGGAGAACAGACAGCGAAGTGCCAGAACATGGATGGGCCGACATTAATCCTGTTGCAACTAGCACTCATGAGATGGGTCCTGGCTCAAGGCACGACACTCTTGACGACCATTTCAATGACTGGAACTGGAAAAAAGTATGCTTGATGGGTATGTCGTGTCAGCTGGAACAATCATTTTTGCAACTGATTTGATTTAGGTAAAACCCTTGCACGTAAGCTCAAGGCTGCATTTTCAGAGCATTTCGAACACACACACAACTTGTGTGACTTTGAGGCTGCGCTCAATTCCAGCCAGCTAGCTTGTTGGAAGGAGGAATTGAGGCCTGGGAGTCCGATCGTTCTAAACCGAATCCATTCGAGCTCAAGGTCACCAGTAAGTTTGTTTGTGCATATGTGATTGGAACTATCTAATCGATTACCATAAGCCGTCAGCCAAGCATCCATCCGATTGGCATTGTCCAAGGCAGAAGCCGACAAACTGGAACGTGGCATGAGCATGTCTTTTCATGACGACATATCTCCATCAATGCTCATTTCATCAGGGCTCGAACTTGAAGATCAACAGTATGTCAATTAATTTTATTTGTCTGATCTTTCTAAACTTCTCTCAGGCAATGTCTTGAGTTCGAGAGCAAAAAGATCGGAAACACGCTATGGATTCTCAGCACTCAACACTTTGGCAACACATCAATTCCCTCCGTCGACGTATTGATACATGGTCGCATGTGCAACTACTCTACATGCCATGTGTATCACAACTGTGTTCATCCGACGACATCGCTGCCGAACCCAAGGTCCAGAAAATTAATCTGCTTCTCCCGTCTGCTATACCCAGTGGTCTACCCTGCGAGGACTGCTTGTTGAATTGCGAGTGGGACTTACGCAAGGCGCAAGCTAACGATGCTCTACATGACATCCACCATGTCCTTAATATGAAGTATCATCTGTACAAGCACAAGGACACGTTCATCTGAGGACAACGCACAAATACTCGTGCAACTGGAATCATCAACAACGTGGACAACCGAATCGACACCCTTGCTGCCAAGTACAATGCAGCATGGAATGCGCTTGTCAAGCTAGTGTCAAGGTTGCAGAAGGATGATGACTGGAAGCTCACTTTCAAGCCGCTCGATCGCGCAAAGGATGCTGTCCCACTGAGACAAGATGACAGGACATCTATTAGCCAGCAAACAGTGTCGTGGATCTGGAAAACACATGGCATCTCAACCAACAAAGAACATGGCCTACAGGACTGTGAGTAGTATGTGTGATGACTGTTTCTCACTCACTGAATTCGTCACAGCTTTGCATGTTGAATGGTGCAGGGCCAGAGCATGAGCACATCATTGGGAAGAAGAGATTCAATTACTATGTGAAGAAATGCAGTGGGTGCTGGCTTTTTACAATGGCAAGCTGTCTGGTGGGATGCACAGAGCTCACGGCGTACTTTCAGGTCACCAGAGGCAGTGGAAGGTGGAGCTGCATATGCATGTCGCCAGGCTTCACTGCGGCAAAGCATGGCTTCCCATTTTAGATCTATGTGGGAGGCTATTCCATCCTCGTAACTTACTCTTGCTATGTTTTTATTTCAATACAATCCGTTTCTTTGAATTTCAAACATATCTGCATTGGGCTGTAAGGTTCATACAAGAAGTCACTCAAAAAGATGCGGGCATGAAATGAAGAGAAGACCAGGTACATATGATCTCGATTGTGAAACGGATCACAATCATGTCTGTAAGTGGGCAGTGGTATAACGCGCAGTGTACAGAGTAATATATCACTATTGTAAACCAAAGGCACTGATATATCATGGCCATGCACTGATGGAAAGGATTGATATATTATACCACCAGGATGTAGTGCTGAGTCGTGGAGGTGGCGAGTCCTGGTTGCAACTCCTTTGTGGAGGAAGGACAATGAAGGCAAGACCGTTTGCAATGTGTAAGTTCTCATCTGTTGTTCCTTCTATATTTGTACCAATCTCTTATATACATACAGATGCGGCCTCTACTATAAGCTTCATGGCTCTGCTCGTCCCATTAGTATGAAATCCGATATTATTCGGAAGCGCTCTCAACACGACGCTCGTGCGCAGCGCTTCTCCCTCACCAAGCCCCCAAGTGCATCTAACACGCCTGGCACTCCTTCCGTTATGGAGGAGACAGTTTCAGAATGGGTTCTAGTACAACAAGCGCAGGTACTTACTTCTTCGTCTTCGCAGCACAGCAGCATGGACTCATCTGTCCACACAGTCGACACAGGCACTGTTGTGCCACACCCGCCACTATACTACCCACCAACCCACCATGAGACCCGCACCCGCCATGGGGGTGTGGGTATACCTGCGGGTGCAGGTGCGGGTGATGCTTGCGACACCCACGGATACACCCATGTCATTCCCTAGCTACTAAGCCCCCTGCCATGTACATTATCTGAAACATGAAAGAATCATATGTCTGTTAGAATAATCACGAGCCTCTGATTACCTTACTGTATATAAGTACCTTACTTAGTATTGTAACAGTTGGCGCTTTTGAATCCTATCTTGTATCTGGTTACTTGAACATCTGAATTCCTTACTCTTGTGACATCTCTGAAAGCTTATCGCTTCTCACCACCGTCACACTGTGGGAAACTGTCAAAAATGTCAATGTCTATGGAGAAGTTTGTAGTTTACTAATGAAGCCATCCATTATATATGTAGATATATGTAAATACTAGCATCAGGAAAACCCTCTGCTACAAATTTAGGCTAAGTATGTAAAACTTTCTCTAATTTATGATAATTTCGCTAAAATAGACAAATTATATGAAATATGAAGTAATGTAGAATAATGTAACTAAAAAATTTGTGCATCATCTAAGCATCACAAAACTATGCCTATCAATATAACAATTAACGAAGAAGGTGTCACATTCTTCAAGAACATTGTTGATTGTCCAGTGTCGCGGTGCAATGGCTCCAAACCTTGGCATGAGATGGATGCTGCGGGTAATATTTGACACCAGAATGATACTCGCGACTCTCTCACCAGACTTGATTAACCGACTAATTTTGTACATGCCATGTCTTGGATCCGGTGTTGCAGGAAAGGGGGTAAACCACTCCACATACATGAGATGCTTTGGGGGTTGGTTTGTTGAAGGGAACAAAAACTGTGTTGCTGATGCTGGAATTGAGAAAACGAGACGAATTTGACCTACACGGAAGCCTAAAAACATTATTATCCAAGCATGACGACACAAGCCTTTAAGTTATACCTTTAACCCCAACAAAACTACCAGTACCATCATTGATAAGTGCAGTATCAAAGTGTGCTGGTACCACATCATTTTCGTGTTGGGCATTGCGATGGGGTCTAGCATGTATACTATCCACTGTGACAAGTGGATCGCCGTGTCCCCGAGCATCGGTCAACAACCACTTTATCTTGTGATACACAGGAACAGTGTGGAAAGGCAGATGAATACCTGCAGCAAGGTTTTACAGGCGCTGGCAAGTAATCACCTCATTTGGATTCTGTTGTTGTGCAATGTAACGAGCAGGGCCTGTCAAAAGTAGGTTGCACCATAGTCAGTGATCAATTGTTGAATGGGGACGGCTTTAGCGTTTGGATGCTTTGTCAATTGCTGGGTGCGATCAAAGTGTAAGTCAGGTGGATGCAGATGATGAGGAGCACAATCCCCGTCAAGACGCCATTTTATGAACTGCTGATGATGAGCGATCTTCTCCTTCCGCTCTAGCCACTTCGTCATCTGTATAAATTTGTCCTTATGATTGGTCGCACGGTAGGCATCCTTGGCAAGATCGATGATATGTAGCCGCTCCGTGTACTCTGTATTATAATTATTTGTCGTCCCAAAAGTTCGAATCATAGTTGAGTAGTGGCATGCTGAGTGGAGCTTCGGGAGGTTGAAATTGTTTCAGATTCCGAGGTCAATGAATATCTCCTTGTTGTCGTGAAAGAGAGCATGAGCTTCATCCAGTAAAAGCAGTGTCTCAGAACTATGACATGGGTACTGCGCGAGGTAAAGGAAGTCAAGAAGACCGTGCACAGCCTTGAGGAGGCGAGACGAAGCAAGGTTTCCAGGAAGTCGAATATCGATGATGATACCAAGGAGAAATCAGCATATTTGACTGCGTTCAGTACCGCTGAGACGCGAGAGGCTGGTGATACCCTTCATAAATATTCAAATATGATGATTGGGAGGTAAGCGACGACATCATGCATCAATTTCTGCTGCACCACATGCTTGTGCGAGCCATCCAAGCAGATGTTTGATAAGACCTTGATACAATTGGTGTAGTACGTCAGGTGTGACTGCCTGAAAAATGTTTGCATGAGGGAGGCCCTCCCAGTATGGGTGTATGATGGGTTTGATTCCAGCTTCGCAACATGCCTGTACAAACACCAGGTCACCATCGTCAATCCTGGAAAGAGCATCCAAAACAGTGTGAAGGTCACGTATTTCAAATGGTGCCGTGTTACTCCCGAGTTCCTCTGTAGGAATGTTACATTTCGGGCATTCCATTGCCTTCACTCCAGTAGTGAGCAATTGCTCGGGATAGTCACCCACAAAACACGCAAACAGAGGATGACAATGATGTTCCACGCCATCACCACTACTCATTACCAGCCCATCAGTACCAGCAGTCTTAAGCGGAGCCAGTATGCAACTCATACAGGCATGATAAAGGTTTGAAATAGTACAGCATCTCGAAGCTTTATTTGCAATGTGCTCAAGGTGGGTAGTGGGCAAGTATGCCAAGAGGATATGGGCGCGACGGGATGGCTTTCAGCTAATTTCTTTTGGAATGTTACCAATGGTGAGATAGACGGGATAGGCACTTTTATTCCTGAACATCGTCATCTGGGTTTTATAGCTCGATATAATAATGGGAATAATTGTGGCGCCCAGACGTCATTGATCAAGCGCTCTCTAAAAAGTATCATATCAATAAAACAGGTAGATGCTGATTTATGATAGTTTGCTTACTTGCGTGTCCCACCACCACTGGCCGGTATGCATGTCATGAAACAACCGTATGGTTTGATCTTCATCAGCGTAGTGACGCTCGGGTGCAAATACCAGAAAATCAGTGAAGTCAGGGTCACTGTACAACACTTTGATACATTCAATAATGTCTCTGTAGAAGACATTGAATGCTTCCCCCGCAACAATGATTTGTTCACGCTTGAACTTTGGTCATCCAGGAAGGTCATTGTCGATGATCTTGTCTAGCTCTTTTGAATTCTTATATGAGAGGCCGAGACAATCACTGAGCTACATACATAGATGTCAGTCAAGAATGTGTACCTGTGCACCAGCACTTACTCCGTCAATTTTAAGCAAGTCAGTAAATGCTGTTGAGCTAGAACCATGTAGCTTCGCCCATTTAGCGATATCCCAGTCCATTTGGGAGGAAAAGGGGGCATAAATGTTCACAGTGCTGCCAGCATCAAGTCCATATGTGGCATTTGCACAGCGAGTAGGTCGTCCAGTTATGGGTTTACCTGCGCGTGCATCGGCTCCCATTCATTTCCATCCTGTGTGGGAGGTTCCCACTCGCCCGAGTCATACAGGCCCTCCTCCTCATCGGTAGAATCATTTCTATCATCACCTAGCCACTCTATATCATCTTCTCCGTAAGTACTGAAAAAGTCGTCCTCAAATATGGGTTCAAGTTGATCCTCTGTGGGAGCCAGTGAAGGTGACCGTGGACTCCTCGGCTAGGTGTTGGCAGTGTGAGAAGCTGCGAGAACAGCCATGCAAGATCCCTGTCTAGTCTTGGCTAAATGTTGACTGTAGCCTGTCACTGAGAATGATTCTTGACATCCAGAACAGCTGACCATTTTGTCTGTATTGAGAATTGAGATCTGTTGAGATGGTACGCTGTTTCCCATCCAACGGAGTCCTTTTGGACTCCGCTGATACATCAATATCCCAACACATGTTGCCATATACATCATAAGCTCCGAATTGGTATGCTGGTATCCCTCTGTGTAGGATGACAACAGTCTCTGAGAGTTCGTTTCCTTCTCCTGCTCAAGCAAGCAGCCCACCCTTAGATCCTCCTCAATCTTGCAGTCCCTCTCCTGTCTCTCACAGTCCTGAAACTCTCATAAATTCTAGCCCAATATCCTCTCCGAGCATGATGCAGGTATCCATAAGTGCCTCAACTCTGAGTTTATGACCTGTCTCAGGGGATGCATAGGCTGAGCCTCCTGGTTTGAAGGAATCCCTAATGTGTCTTCCTGCCAAATCACTCGTACCTACAAGTACCGCTCATCAGCGGTCCACGGGCAATAGAAAGTCCAGGAAGTACCTGCCATATCCTCAGGATCCACTTCCTCTGGAGGTTCGTTATGTGGGCTGGTTCATGAGCCGAGGATATCAGCCAGATTTTTCACCTGAAGCAATGCAGAAGGTAAGCTATGTTTGTCACATATCTTTCCTTTGTGCTAAAATCATCTTTAAAAGGTTGGAAGAACAGCTGGAGAATGGTCTCTCGCAAATGAAAACTGCGACTTTGTACAAAGGGTACAAAGCCAAACTCCTGACCCGCGAAGTTGCACGTCAATGTCTCTTTCTCTCAACTTTGGAGGCTGAAGAAGCTGATCTTACTGCATCCTATGCTGATGCCATCCATGCTGAAAATCAAGAACACTTTGGTTCTGCTGAGGAGGAGTTGCAACATTATAGGAAGCATTTTCTCAGCGTGGGCGCCTGGAAGCTGATGATGACAGGAACTATCTTCAAGCTGTTTATGAAGATGAATGTCGGATTCTTCGCACTGTCAACATCCAGACTGATCAAGTTGCGAAAATATTGGACAAACATATCGCACAATCTCTTACGGACTGTACTGGATACTTCCCCATGTGTCACCGCTTCTGCAATGAGGTTCAGACCACTGAACCCTTCCATGAGGACTCTGATGTTACACCTGATGGATCAGACGACATCGAGAATGAACACCTTAGCTTGTCGGATCTTGGCTCTGATGAGTGAGGCATGGGAGATGCATTTGATATCGCAGTAGGTATCTTCACTTCCCATATGATTGCTGCCCTGACTAAGCTTGTACCAAGTTTCTCATCCGTATTTTTTGAGCCCGCTTTGGACATCCATCATTCGCAGTTCTCGAAATCCTCGTGTCAGCCCTATCACCGCATCATCCTTTCTCCCCCCAATGACTTAAACTTCTCTAGTCCCCGACTTCTCAAATTCTCATCACACGTTGCGGTCACTGGAATGGTCAAAAGTGATCATTTTTGGTGATCTTACATTGATTTCAGCCTTGCTGTGCTTGATGTGACTATCTCAACGAACTTCTCCATCAGTGCGTGAAAATTGTCAAATTGAACATCACTCTATTGATTGATCAGCTTCAGTTTGGCCCAGTGACTGGGCTCAATTCAGTCGGGTATTTATTAATTTGCACGTGTTTGTAGGTATAGGCGTGCGCAAGATGGGAGTGCTCATGGTGCATGCCCCCTTCCCTTTGTGCCACCACCATCACCTCCTACAGATTTTGGTCTCTCCACAACATGCAGCCACATCGCGAATTGACGATTTCATTCAATTCCCTCGACAATGCTGAAAGTGACCCAAACCAGGGTCTATTCGACTTCATCGACCAACCTGAGGCTTCACACCATGGCCCATTCGACTCCATCAACCAACCTCAAACCAGTCAGGCATATCCTTCTAGTTCATCGTCATATAGAGGCTCAGCATTGTTTGGCGGAGTCTCTGGAGATCAGGACACCATTGATTTCGATGCACTCGCCTTTGGCAGTGAGTGTTATTAGGATCACATTTACTTAAACGACTGATACTGTACTTGAAGCATTCCTTGAAGAGTCTGGAGCTAATGCCAGCGGAACATCAACAAGTCATGCCAGCACCACTGCCTCTAGGCTGATCCCTCGGTCAGCGGAGATTGATGCGCTCTATCCATTACCACCTCCCCAGGCACTGCAGGGGACTGTTGAGAGAACACAGCGCTCTTGTCGCATCCCTGCGCCATATCCTCTGCCAGAACCCAAAGTTATCCCCCTCAGCACAACTACTACATCGACCCCACAAACCCTGCAGCATACGACAAGTGTGGACTTTCCCGTCACCCCCACAATAATTGCACCTACCGACCTTGCTGCTCCCATTGTCACTGTTTCCCCCATTGTCCCTGTCGCCCCCATAGTCATCTCTATCGACCCTGCCCCTCAACAACTCAGCGCACCCGTCTCCATCCAGGTATCAGCTGATGTCCAAAAGCAGATCACGCAGACTGCGAAAACCCAACTCATACGATACTTGCTCACTTTGCACGCAATGGCTGGTAGTGACATGCAGAAGTGAGAAGTCATTGATCTTGCAATTGCAGAGTCGACTCCATTGGTGAATGGCATGAATAGTAAGTTTTTTTGTATGTATAAGTTCCTAATTCTAACATTTAGTTCCGCAGTTCATGTTTCAAACCCTATGACATCAAGTCAACGTCAACAGCTGATCGGGACATGGACCTCCATTTTCAGCAACCTCATTAAGGATGTCTGGACCTGTCTTCCATTCGCTTTTGACATCTATCCCCCTGTGGACTCCAACATTCTCCCCGATGAATTCCAGAGGCGTGTCATAAATGCATTGATCAATGATCCCACTCAACCGTTAGCTTTCATGCATCAATTTACTGTCAATGCTGTACGTCGTATTCCCTTCATATTTTCAAAAATTAATGTTCACATTTATGTATTTAGGCCAGGGATGTCACAATCTTGGACGGAGTCCTTGACCAGCCCTTCATATTGCAAATGATAATTCATTTTGTGTGGCACAGTGGTACCAGACTATCAGAATTCATCGACGACCCCCTTGAAGAGTTCAACTACCTCTTTGCCGCTATTGGAGCAATCGCAAAGCTGATATTATTTGAGCAATTGTCACACCCTCCGGTCGTTATCACGCACACACAACTTGAGGCGAGTGAGATGTTCCATGTCATTTTTGCGTACATTCACAGTCTCCGAGGTGCACAGAAGGTCACATTCGATAATTACAAATCTTACACTTGCAGAATTGGACACTCTCAGCGACCGTCAACAACTGTATTAGCACCACTTGACATTTTTTTCACATAGTAGCTTCTGGGATTGCTTTACTGTACTTAGACCTCTGAGTTGGTTCTTCCATTCCTCTGATGATATGACAGCATCGCTGATTGAGTCCTCATGTGCGGTCCGTCTTATCCCGTAACATGTTGCCTCACTTGGTATCAATACTTGGGACTTGCTACCATATTTGACTTGAAGAACAGATATCGTACGTACTACCTGAACTAATCCAAAAGGGACCCTCAAAAGTATGGATGCCTAGTAGCTATAAATCAATTTCGGCTGGCAGACAGGGAAGTATTCCCGCATCTACATTCTTTTAAAATTGTTCACTCATTGATATATTTTAGCATGCCTAGCGATATCACATCTGGCCGAAGTAAGTGCTCACTGTGCACCACCATTTGCGAATCCAGATAACAAATTGCATATTTTTGCAGGCATTCGACCCACAAAAAAAAGGGCGATGGAGAATGCTGGTAAGTTTGTTAAAAATTGAATGGGCCCAGAATCAACTCACTTACTGCACACTGTACTAGTCTGGAGGACTCGACATGCGTCAAAAAGACAGCACCCTCTCATACCACAACAGCGGGCCAAGAAAGCATGCAACTCACTTGCATCAAAGGGAGTCAGTCATTCAGCAATCCCTTGGGCTAGCAAGTGTAAAGGTAAGTGCAGTGTTCTACGCACTGGTATGCGCTCACCAAACGCATCTGCAAAGTCCAATGAAGGCAGCATGGGTATTGGGAGGCAGGGGCCACCACAAAAGAAAGGTACACCTTTTATTACCTCGAGTCAGTTCAGCGTGATGCATCTGTACTTGCAGCACGAAAAGAAACTGAACAGCAGCTAACTCCAGCTCGAACCTCTCAAGATGTGTCTTGCATGATTGATGACACGTTTTTAGCAGATGAACAAGATATATCTGATTATAAACCTAGTGGCGACTCAGGGTTGGATACTGATGCAGAAACTGATGATGACTTAGAGGAACCGGAGTCCGCCGTAAAGTTCCTGTCAGCTGAAGTAAGTACTACTACTGTTCCAGATCGCTGACTGCATATTCAATCAATATCACTCAGATACCAAAGTTTGTCTCAATGTCAGAGGCCGAAAGGCATGACTTCCTGCTTACCCAACCAACCTGGCCTCGTCCATCTGAGTCCACACCAAAGCTGACACAGAAAACTGAATCGTTTCGGTCTAAATCAACCATGGCTACCAAGGTCAGCCGATTCTTTATCTTGCAACTTGAAGTACACTCTGCTATTTATGCTAACAAAACTTATACCTCATAGTTGAGGCAGACAGCTGAACCATCTCCCATGGCCAAAGGCTCCCATGGCTTCCAGGGTAAGTTTTTGCCTCGATGCCATCCGTACTGAAAATAACTGGCATTTGATTGCTGCCCCTCGACAGACAAAATATGAGTTCAACACACGCGGCCATACAAGTGTAAGTTGCCATCTGTGCTGAAAATGACACCCATTGACTGACACCTTCAACAGGCAAAGGCTTAGTCTGTGCATGATCTTAAATGAGAAAATGAGGCAAATTCACTTCTCTGATGGTTCCTGTTTTGATTAATGTTATGCACTGCAGACACCTGTTTGGGTAGATGATTCCAATGATGTGGAGGAACTCGAGGCTGCGTCAAATGACTATGCCGATCCGAAGTCTCCAAACGACAACGACCATCATGGTGATTCTCAGGGGCCCAAACTTGTATGGAATGCAAACACCGGAAAGTTAAAACTCACAGACCAGGATAGCAAGACCCATTGTGTTGTCCAACGAGCGATACTGGAAGCAAAGTTTCATATGACCTTTGTCAATAGCTATCCAGACATCACCATGAAAAATCAATTCACATGAGATGCCCTCTTAACTGCAGCTCACATCTGCAGCGTCACACCCGTCTATGATCACCTCAAGACTAACGAGTCGTATGTGTCTGCACTTGCAACTCTGGTAAGTCGTCACTTTTCATGGGGTGCTTAGTACTATAACATTGCATGCAGGTTGATGCTCGAGTGCCGCTATTTCGTAGTGAATTAAAAGATGATGCTTGTGCACAAGTCACGGTGTACTACCATCTTGGTCCTGATTGCGTTGATACTGCTAAGGCTCTGCTGGCGAGCCATGTTTACCATTATGCGCAGCATTTTGATGTAGGTTTTATATTCTATTTTGTATATGAATTTCTCAGCATCGTGTGTGGATGCACTTCAGGAGAAAAACAACCCTGTTCCGCAGGCGAAAAAACCTTACTCTGCGGATATATTGCCTTACCTAATGAAGGGATGTTACTTCAATGGGTCCAAGTCAGTTGGCATGAAATTCGCAGACCGTTTTAAGGAGATTGCAGGAAACAAGGCCCAACAGCCTGAGGTAACAATTCTGATGGTTGCTTTGACCAGCACTTCAGTACATTTTTTGTTCTTGATCTACTCTCGGTCCATGTATTAATGAGCATATACTACTAGGTGTATGCTGCACTCTTGTGGAAGTCCAACAAATCTCCCCCCAAGTTCAATTTCACAGCCAACCAGTTCAGCGAGGTCTATGCTTTCCATGTGAACTTTCTCAACGAAATGGAGGAGAATGTGCCGAGCAAGTTTCACAAGTTGATGGCCGACATTTTCTCAGCTGTCCAGTAAGTTCATTGTGCTGTGAATGTGCCGCATTGACTAATTCATCTCAAAAGGAAACTCTGCTCTAATGGTGCTGCTGCTGTAGCGTCACACAAAGATGCTATGGCTTTCCTTGACCTTGATGGCATGGATGACAACGAGTAGTTCTGGACGTCCTAGTCATGGTCTCACATTGATTACCTTTACAATTCGTTTATTGGTATTGCTATAAATATGCTCCCTTCTCATTTATCTGTTACTATAAATATGTTTGTATACCCCTGTTTAATCAAACTCTAATTTGTTCTTGTAAAACTCAAATTCCTGCAAAGTGTTCGTACTGATAGTCAATTGCAAGCATTCTTGGTTGTAAGTTTGCCTGATGTTGAACATAATTATCACTAATTTATCATGCATAAAGAATTCCTTGTGGGGCAGTAAAAAAGTCTCTCTAAACCGCTAAGTTGTCTATTTTATCGAAATTATCATAAATTAGAGAAAGTTTTACATACTTAGCCTAAATTTGTAGCGGAGGGTTTTCCTGATGAGTGTTGGTGACTGCATCACAATTGCACAATGACTGCCTAATGCACATATATGGCAGCCGGTGTATCAAGCTTGACAGTGAAGTTTCATCCCTGCATATCTTGTGAGTTCTGCCATGTCCATCCTACTGTCATATCCCACGTTCCGGACCCGGACCTATCACACACATCATTTCCAGACTTCTGGATCCGGACGACTTCTATCTATCGTCCAGATCCGACCTGCGTCTATCTTCCGTGCCTTATCCCTTTGTACGTTCCTTCTCCAGTTAGACTATACTCATTTTCCATACCTCGTTTCATTTCCGCCTTTATTTTCCTATGTTCTCATCTCCGTCTTCATTTACTATTTTCTGATAGACTAGTGTTTGACTTTTCTATATGCTCCGTCCACAGCCTCGCATAGCCTCGGACTGCGCTGACTGATTCTCTGTTAAGTCCTCAGTAGTATATAAACCCTGTAGAATCTTTGTACTTCCTCAGTTCGAATATTATCTTAGACTCTGCTCATTCCCTTCTCCGTCCGACTTGAGTTTCTCCTCTCGTCGTCCTCCGCTAGTCTTAGGATCGATTCCTATAGACTTCTCACCTCTGCCTCTACCTCTGGTAGTCCTCCGCTGTTTCCTTTCTAGTTCGGACATTGTTTGGATTAGTCTTATCCTTCGTTCCCGAATGTCCGCCAGAATTCCTGCGCATCGGACATCAGACTCCGGACTCGTCCGACAACCTTCGGACATCTTCCAACAGCCCTCGGAAGTTAGGGGCACATACTCGGGTAAGGGGCGCAGCGCACAAGCTGAAGCCAAGCCCTTCGGATTCAACCCTTGAGCACGTTCTTAACACCTACCATGTAAAGCTTGACAATGGGACCTATCATTATTGCACTTATTGCAGCAATTTTACTGATGATAATTCTTTATATACCTACATCAGCAAAATCTCACATTTACTTTTTGGTCTGATTCATATTATTGCTCTGAAAAAAGTCGCTAAGTAAAAAAAAGGAAACCTCTGATGTTACTTATTCTACTGATTCCACTTTTTGCAAACTTGGTTCAAATCAATATTGTAGTATAAGACGCGAAAGTGAATTAAGTGCGATAAGACATTTTTTTTGACAAATATATTAGTATGTGATTAGTAACAATAAAAGATTAATACACTTCGTGCGGGTGCAGACTGTGAGTGTGCCGATCCTCTTTTGAGCTCAAGCCATGCTGATCAGAGTCATTGCCCACCTCTCAGAAGTCATTGCCCACCATTAGCAGACTGTGAGTGTGCCGATCCTCCTTCAAATTCAAGCCATGCTGATACTCACCTCTCAGAAGTCATTGCCCACCGTTCACAGACTGTGAGTGTGCTGATCCTCTTTCGAGCTCAAGCCATGCTAATCACAGTCGTTGCCCACCAGTCGCAGGCTTGCAGCTTACCTTCCACTTTGCCAGTGAGGCAACAATGAAAACTTGGATCTGTCAGCATCGCAGCATTTGTACCATTCAACTTTGTACCGCTGCCACCTTTATATTGCTCTTCATCATAGTATTACAGTTGAAGTTTTGTTCACTCAGAATTTCGACCGCTTTGTCTAACAGTATTCGCTTGTTTTCTAAATCCTATTAATTGACTTTTTGTGGTGTTTCATTACTTTGCTTATCATACTGAATCATCTGCAAACTAGAAATTTCTTCACAGATATGGTAATTTTCGACAGTTTACCACAGCCACCCAAAGTGGCGACAGAGCTCACAGAACGTACAGCCCCAGACGCCAAAGTGGTCACAGAGCTCACAACCGGGTCAGACTGTTCAAAATAAATTCAATGATTTCCAGCTCAACGGCCTCAATCTTTTTAAAGTGTTGAAGTCTACTAGTAGCTTGAATTTGCACATTGTCCCCAATTACGATACAAACATTATATTCAACAAAATACCAATATATAGTAGTAGTACTGTACATACTAGTACTACTAATGCGTGCACCGAACTTGAACACAAAAGAATAAGAATAGCTCGAGTCATCAGTCTAAAATTACTGATATGTGACGGTTGGATTGTTCTGTGATAAGACATGAAGTTTGCAGTGGCGAATGTGAACAGATATGACTTACCTTGCAATCTGCATGGCGCAAGTGAACGGTGAGAAAGACCGTATTTTTTAAAAGTAATTTCGCATATACCCTAATCCTGTATCTGCTTTGTCGAGCTTTTTCTTCGAAATGTCAGACTGGTGCTTGGAAAGATTCACCATGATTTCGTGTTCTCGCACTACACAATCCGCTAGCGCCTTCTCTGCCCTAAATATGTCCCGCCTCGCCCTCGCTAGGTCCATGATGAGGTTGGCTTCAAGTTCATCGGTGTCGTTGATTCTGTAAGTACCATGTTACTTAGAGTGAATGCGATACAATATGATTGACTTACCATTGACCCAATACCATCAGCTATATCGTACAGGTCAGAAATACCACTGGAATCGTGACAACACGAGTGACAACTTGGACGTTGCTGAACAGGGTGTGTGCACATACAAGGCATCAGGTGCGAAGATGATGATGGGATAACATTGCTGAGATTAAGACTGATTGGTGGGGCTGACATTTTGGAGAAACAAAGAGTAAGTTATTGATTATGAATTGGGCTTCTCACGACTCACGAGTGTCGGACTTTGCGAGGACATCATGTCCAATTTCCAGTGTCCTTCATGTGGTAAAGCTGGTTTCAGAGATCAGGTTGCTGTTGCTCATCACATGAGCCAGCCTCGCTCAGGATGTAGCACCTGGCTACAGGATTTAATACGTCTGCGGGACCTATCTGATGATTCTATGAATACAGATGACTTGGACGAACCGAATATTCCCGGTGGTGGGCCTCAGGCTGAGGTTGAGTTCACATTTGGAGATAGAGATGAGTCATTTGAAGGTAGCGGTGAGAGTGGTGGCCAGGCCTCTGGGGAGGGATTACTTCCGAATGGTGCCTCAGATTTCATCGACTGGTATCCCGAATCTTCTCAGACATATGGCAAGGGGTACACCTTCCTTGACTTATTCAATTCTGATGAGAATAGCATGTACCGTGCCAAGAATCCCTATTACCCATTCAGTGGCCGGAAGGACTGGGAGATTGCATTGTGGTTACTGTGCTCAGGATTGAGCATGGGGAAGATAGACAGTTTTTTGTCACTCGAGATAGTAAGCAAATTGTTTCATTTTCATTACAATTCCGATGATAAGTCTTTTGTCAAGATCAAGGGTCTTCCAATATCTTTTTCCTCGGCCAAGGAACTGCGAGGCAGAGCAGAAATGTTGCCCAGTGGTCCACACTGGATGTCCCAAGTGCTCTCTACAAGTCATCCCACCAAATCACCCGTCGTTTTGTACTGGCGTGATCCCTTGGACTGTATTTCAGCCATTCTGAATCATCCCTGTTTTTCACTGATCGGTTAGACTTCACGCCTCGCAGGGTCTATACAACTGCACAACTGCTTGTGCTGTGTATATTCAGAATGGATGACAGGCTGATGACACATGGAATATGCAGGTATATATTCATGTTTTGCACCAGTCGCTGAACTTATTGGTTTCTCAACAGTCTGCCCTACCCAAAGGTGCAACACTCCTTGGAACCATTCTATCATCTGACAAAACAAATATATCCACGATGACGGGTGACAAAGTTGTGCACCTGCTTCTCAGTCAGCCTTGCGAATATCAACATGTCCACACGACTCAAGACATCGTCCAACTCCTTTGTACTCACCACCTTGCTCCCCGTACCTAAATTTATACATAAGAATAAACGCATGTGAGGTGTACTCAAGGATCGCTTAATTCATGAATGTTTAGATATTGTCCTGCATCCGCTCAAGCAGGCTGCACATGAAGGAGTCATGTTATCAGACCCTGTTGGACATAGCCGCTATTGTTTTACCCCCCTGGCAAGCTATATTGTCGACACTCCAGAGGCTATGATGCTAGCTACTGTCGGTGGGAAAACATCTCCGGTCACCATGGCCATGTTCAAGCAGTTCGGAGACCCTTTCCATCACGAACCTCGCATGAAATCAACCACACTTGCACAGCTGGCTGTCGTTCAAACAAGGGCGGATCCCAATGATATTGAAGCCTTCTTTCGCGAAGCACAGAAATTTCGCCTGAACGGTGTCTCTAAACCTTTCTGGCAGGACTGGACCCTTGGTGAACCATCTCATTTCCTCACTCCAGAATTTCTGCATCTCATTCACCGAGAATTCTACGATCACAACGTCAAGTGGATTATTTGTGTGGTCAGGGACATGGAAATTGATTTCCAGTTTTCTGTGTTGCAGCCCGTCACTGGCTTTCGTCATTTTTACGGTGGTATCTCCAAGCTAAAACAGGTTACAGGTCGAACTCAACGTGACATTCAGTGTTCGATTGTTGCAGTCAGTGCGGACGCAGCACCTAGTGCCGTGATCACTGCTGTCCGAGCATTGATGGAATTTCGGTATCTCATCCAGTCACCGCGTATTGATGAAGACGACATCAAGCGCATTTCTGGAGCCCTCGATGAATTTCACGCCAATAAACATGCTATCACAGCTGGAGGATTTTGTCGAGGCAACAAGAACAAAGTTATCGATAACTGGTACATTCCCAAATTGGAGCTCATGCAGAGTATAGTTCCCAGCATCCGCAACACTGGTGTCGCCATGCAATGGACTGCAGACACAACAGAGCATGCGCACATTACAGAGATTAAAGACCCCACACGATCAAGCAACAACAACAACTATGATCCTCAGATTTGTCGACATCTCGACTGGGTTGATAAGTGCCATCGCTTTGACCTTGCAATGAGTCTCGTGGATGGTATGGCAAGCTCGAGGCTACAGGATGACAATATTGGTGATGATGTTGACTTTGATGTGGATGATGATGATGACCTCCCCACGGAATTTACGGCCACTATAAAATGACCTGGACATTCGCGCCCAATCACCAATTACTTTGCGATTGCGAAGATCCTCCAGCATAAGGAGGTTGGGACTGTCCCTCTGCCATTGCGCACATTCATCATTGGATGCACGGCCTATCATCTCACGTATTCCCCATCCATCAGATCCATCTCCATCAACTGATGCTGCTATCAAATTCGGCCTTCCTGACTTACGGCTGGCCATTGCTGATTTTCTTCGTCACGAAGCTACCCACGGACAGAGTTATGTCCACACAATTGGGGGAGCCAGGAGGGCTGGACCTACTGCTTCCCTGCCATTTGATAAAATTCAAATCTGGTTCAAACTTTGCCTACAGGACACAGAGTTCCACGACAGTAGCATCATACGGCCCGCTGCAGACCCTGAATTGTGTGCCGCCTTCTGATGTCTGGAACTCTGGTAGGTACGACTCAGCTATTGTGAACAACGAGTTAGGGTGCCTTTGGCCTGCTCATGGTCTTTATGGTATGTTACAACCTTCTATCATGCTGAATACATTCTCACTATTATCTTTCAGGTCATACAATTGGTCAAATTAGGCTTATCATGTGTCCAGTTGGAAGAATCAACACGGATTGGTCATGGGAGGACCATTTCCTTGTCTATATGTACTGGTTTGATGGTACAATGAGCGCTCGTGATCCTGCCACACAGTTGCACTCGATCAGAAGGGCGAAATGTTCCAATGGTACGTTAGTGGGCAATATTATACCACTGACACAGATCAAGGCTCCTGTTAATCTCATTCCTCGCTTTGGAGCCAGTGCAGACAGCCGTTTTACCTCACAGAACAGCATGGAGCACGCGTCAGAGTTTTGGGTAAATAAATTTTGGGACAAGAACACATTCTTTCCGCTCTCTATGTAGCTTCCTGCCTGTATTTTTAACTTTCGTGCTATTGGTTGTCAACGAGCTTCTTTCTGATATATTCTTAGTTCAATGAGCATTGATGGATGTAGTGACGCGCGATAAGGGCATCTTGTTGCTCCCACCGTTGTCATATTATAGCTTAGAGTATACCGAACAAATGCCACCTCAGTTCTTTTTCAGGATGGGCGGCTACAGAATAAAGTTGTCGTCATTGGTTTCGCTCCCTGCCGCTGTTTCAGGCGATGCCCTTACAATGAACAAGTACACGGCCGAGGAACTAAATCGTCTAGTTACACAGGAAGATGAACCAGCATCCTCTGATTCGCAATCGCTGGGACACATGCTCTCTCATATCTTTCAGTCTTTCAGCATACCTCTACCGGATTTATCTACGCTCCAGATCCCACTCAAAAACATCCTTCATCACAATGAATGTACCAAAGCAAAATTCAGCAAAAATTCACCAGATGACCTGGTGCCATTGTACGATACTGATGGGCAGCTATGGAACTGGAACCTTCCAACTTTTGCTCCCACAAACGAATCTGAATCAACAACTCACTCTCAACCATCTGAAAGCTTAGATTCGGAGGGCAATGCAGGGACTGGTGAAACCACAAAAGCAACTCACGAAGAAATTTTCTCATCATTCTTCAATGCTTTGGCTATCTGCTTAGCGAAGGCAGAGCCCAAACTACTAGCCAATCCCACTGCGACGCGCATGTGGACTGCGGCCCATGCACATAAAGCATTACCTGGTAGTGAGGTGAAGCAGAAACCCAATCTCCTCTTATCAGACGAGATCACGGCAAATTGGGGGAATATCAGGGTATCGGCTGAGCTGATGCACAGTTCATATCAACCTGCATTGCAACTCGTGAAAGCTGCTGATAGTCATGCATACCTCATGCTGAGTGAGCAGCCCTGGAGGCGCTTTGCTCTTGTACTATCACTCACCAACGAGTACCAGGAGCTCAGAGTCCTTTTCTACAATCATGCCAGTGGTGTCGTGTCCCCTGCCTTCAATATCTACCAAAAACCAAGCATTGTTGCTCACATTATTGCTGCCCTTCGTTTCGGCAGCCTCGAGTGCATAGGCTATGACTTGACAGTCTCCTTCACAAAACACATTTCTCCTCCCCAACGCCACGCCAATGGCTATCATCCGATCAAGAACCTCCCTGCCAAATGGCAACCTGCAGATCACGTCATGGCTGCAGCCACGTCTGAGCCCCCTTATCCACCACCCAGTGATGTTGAGGGTGCACCAAGCGCTGTCATCGAGACAATATCTCCCAACTCAGAGCCCGAGTCCAAGCCAGAGTCCGAGTCTGAGTCAGAGTCAGAGTCAGAGTCGCATGCTGACTATGGTATGAAGAATGTGGAGGATCCCCACCTGGTACAAGCCACTGCCATCTCCAGCCCCCCCTTCTCAACCTCACATCCCAAGCACCTGAGGAGCCTGACAGTATCTATTCTGCTACACCCCATCCTTCACATTTCCCATATTCAGCTCAGTCACCTGAACTGTGTGGCAAAATTCGTGTCAGGGACACAATCTACACGATCACAATGATCCTGTTTGCGAGTTGCGGCCTTGTTAGTCACGGAACTGTCTGCTACTTGGTCTCTTTGGATGATAAGGAATTCATCATCAAAGACCATTGGGTTCAGGGTAAGGAGGATCAGGTGATCTTGAATGAGATTGAAATGTTGAAGCGCATGTCTGGTGTCCCTGGCATTCCTGAGTTGGTGGATTGGTGGGTGGTTGAAAGGTCGAATGGAGAACCCGATGTGACCAGCAAATATCGAAAACAACCGCAGTGCCTAAGTATTGCAGGGACCAGTCGCTCACATGTTCGACTTGTCTTGACGCCCTGCGCTCACCCCCTGCATATGTTCCGAACTCTTAAAGAGTTCATGAAAGCGCTGAGGGACATCATCATCAGTAAAGTGTTTTTTTTTGATTGGCAATCTTTGAACTGACAAATCTAATTTCAGTTCAACTGCACGGCGGTGGAGGAACGCAAGGTTCTACACCGCGACTGCAGCTTAAATAATGCAATGATTGTAGATCTGTTAGGAGGTGGTAGTAAAGGGTTTCTAATCGACTGGGAGTTGCAGTGCGCATCAACCCAGATCTGAAGTATGCCATCGGTGGTACGGTAAGTGCATTCAGTTAATTACAGTACATCTAGTACTGATCTGTTCATCCAATCTACAGGGAACAATCCCGTTCATGTCTCGCGGGCTTCTCACCCAACTCTCAGATGCACAACAGGCAGCGCTGGGCAGAAAGAAACCGAAATATATCCCCAAAACATCTTCAAACACTTTGGCAGTTGCCTGTATTGCATGTCATTCAATGCTTTTCAGACGACCTTGAATCACTTTTCTTCGTATTCATCTGGATTTGCATCAAATTCTGTGGCCCCCATGGCCAGGTACGCCAGGATACCATAGGAAACTCAATACCTGATCGCTGGAACAACATGGACCTTGAATCCTGCGCGGCCTTCAAGGGCAATTTTTTCGCAACCAAGAAGGAGGAATGCCGTCTTGTAGACGAGATCCATCCTTACTTCAAAGACTTAATCCCTCTCGCCAAGGAGTGGTGTACGGCTTTGAAGGACAACATGGAGAACCCTGTTTCCTTCGGCACCATCCTTACACTATTGAACACTCATCTTGACCGCCTTCCGGATGACGAGGAGCTCATTTCCACTGTCAAGACGCTCAAACAATCTGCTGCTATTCTCACAGACCATGTCGAGAAGCATGCCGCTTTGCAATCTTTCCCCATGGAATTACCCAAGTGTCGGAAGTCTGATGGTATTTCGGAGACTGACAATGAGTTAGATGGTTAGCATACATACAGGCTAATTATTCAACATAAACATCATTTTTCATTGCTACTTTGTTGTACTCTCATTCTCACGTTGACCCAATGTACTGCATTTTTGGTTGTTGTGACTTGTATGACTTATAAATTATGTTTCTTCACACATTTATTCTCATCAAGTTGAGTCACTCGAAACATGCAGCATTGATTATTACATGGTACGCGCTTCAGTGTGATGTTGCACACATTTTTTAAATGTAATACTGTCCATTACTCGCATCAAGGCCGTTCTATTGGCCCACCCAGCGCCGAGACATGATATTATTATATAAAAGACTGGTGAGTTTGCGACTTGATGAATCACTAGACTCAGGCTTCACCTCTTTCTCTATCCTCTGTGTAGTTGCAATCATGCCTCCTCGTGCTATTAACAGCCCCAAGAAGAAGAGGTCGAAGCGCAAAGGCTCAGATGCTTCTGGCAGGGCAGGTGTACCCAAAAAATCTCACCAGACTATGGACCTCACTGAAACACTCAGTGTACCACTTGTTTCCCTTGGCCTTGCTGAAGCTGAAGATGGTGCTCCACGATGTTCTGGCTGCCCCAACGCAGGGACCAGAGGTAGGAACAGCCAGCTAGAAAAGATTGGTGCAGTCCTTGAGTCTCAGTCTCGAAGTCGTCCTCCCAAGGGCTCCACATCCCTCAGTCCTAATATCCCAGTGAACCCTCAGGCTCCGGAACCAGCTCGTAAAGGATGGAAGGGTTGTTCAAAGGTCAGGCATGTAAGTATTTGTTCTTACTAATGCTGATGTTTGCATTCAGGCAGTTCCTCTGCCTTATAGTTCACTCACTGTTACCAATGGTCCTGCAAGCATTGATAACACAGGTCCTGGTCTTTCAATGCACCAACCTGGCGGAAGGTTTGGTTTGGTTGCTCCTCCCAGTGCTGGCCGCAGTCTTCACAAGGCTAACAATCCACATGTCACTGTTGGCTCGAAGGCTGTCAAGAAGTGTGCTACGAAAGTAGCTCATGATCCAAACCCATGCAATATTGTACCGCCACTCACCACCTTCGTAGAACAAAACTTGGATCCGGCCCTTTTTGAGGAGGACAACAATGTCAGGCATCAATCTATACTGCGAGAATTCCAGCTGTTGAACAGCAGACCCAAAGTCAGCAGCACCAATGACAGCAATGATGAAGACGAGGACCAGGACCAGGACCAGGATGGGGATGAGGACGAGGATGGGGAGGAGAGGATGGGAAGAGGATGAGCACACCAATAAGAATGGGTACCAATGTCACAATGGCCATCCAGGTAATTTCCTTTATCATACTGAGATCCACCTGATGTTGTTCCCTGTTTCAATCTTACAGGCTTTTCAAATGAATCGCTACCTTCGCAGCCTCGAGTCATTCATCATCTCACACCTGAATTCAATTTTCAGTACTCCCACGATGAGGATGACGTGGCTGCTCAGACAAGCCTCAATAAAAACACTGTAGCAAACTCTCAATCCTCGACTGTCCACCAGAACAGTGACTCCCAGGTATGCTGACATAGATTTACTGGCATTGCACTTATTCTTTTTGCTTTCAAGGGCTCTCTGGATCCTTCGGTAGGAGTGCAACAGCAACAACAGACACAACGTTCTGAGGTGAGCAAATGGTTTTTATTCTGAATGAGGCTCACAGTTATCATTTGCATACCTCGAAGCCTAGCGACTGTATTGGAGTCCCACCACAAGAAAAATGGCCAGCCCCACCTTCCCGACCCTGAAACTCTTGAGCTGCTTTATCAAATAGCCTGAGCACGCTGATGACCAACAGGCTTTCCAGAGAAACAGAAAGACAAAATAGTCAGAAGACGGGCCCAAACCTACTCTATTAGCTTGGTACGGGCCGCTGCTGGAAAAGCTTCCTTGAGCACACCAAGGGAGAATGTCGTGTGGAACACGCACTTGACAATCTGTTCCTGAGTTTTGTTGATGATCTTCCAGGGTCAGTAACTGAAGTTCTCATCGCAACTTTAGTCATTTGGGACAAGGAAGGAAAACAATTTGAAGCTGGTGCGTGTTTGCTTCTTCTTGCGCTAATTTGTTTCATGTTGCAATCCAGGGGTTTGGCCGGAGCAAAAGTGTAACATAGCTCGATTGGTACATGTTTCGCTCTCTTAATTTACAGTCTCGCTGATACAATAGGTCTTTATTGAAGTTATATGACAATCTTTCAACCTGGCGATCAGAACTCAAGAAAACTGCCATAGGCTTAGCACCTCTTGCATACTCACTTGTTCCCCCCGCGTCAGTCCCTGCTCAAGAACGTGCAATGTGGGTCCAGAATGCTGCTTCGCAATTACTTTCAGAATCCGAGTTTTTATGGTTTGGATTGGATGCATTGGTGAGTGATTGTGCACTGACTCCGATGACATACATTAAAATCACTAGGGCAAAACAAGGAATTTCGCTCATCCTGGCCTTTGTGATGCAGTTATTAGATTCTTTTACATGGGGCTGTACCGAATTGCCCGGAAGAGGCCAGATATCTTTTGCAAGCAATTGCCCATCTCATGTTTGGCTTTGGTTTCCGCTGCGGTACTTTCTTACTTTCTGCCTTGACATCATGTATTGACATTTTTATAGTACAACTGTGTCCTCGACGGTCTCATCAAAAATGGTCACGGCAAATCTTATCCCAAGTTCTCCGCCAAGGAATACAGCCCAATATACCGCCAGATGGTCAGAATGATCGATCAAATTCTTCAACATCCATATCACGGTCCCAGGTTAGTAGCGCAACTTCAGGAATGGGCTGAAGCAGGATGACAAGAACAACCTTTTTCTTTGAAATTTCAGATGCTGATTATTTTCACCCAGGGCCGCATGTCTAAAACTCGATGGCGCTGAGGAGACCAAACACACCCATCTACAAATCGTCCTTGACTAAGTCTTCACATTCCTGTGTCCGAGTTACAGTACTACCATAGTTTGGGAGCCATTTTTTGTTTCGTATTTTGCTACTACTAGTATACTGATGTTTCCATACCATGTGATTGAATATATTGCCATCGTTCCTAAACACCTTGGGTGGACTGTACATAAATGAATGTGTGCACAATGATTGCTCTCCGAGTGCTCTGTGAGTGTCTGTACATACATAGACAGTGAAAAAATGTGCAATTTTACAGGTAGTTGTTATTCACTGGGTGGTCTGTGAGTATCTGTACAGATATCTACAAAGTAAGGAGCTACTGTGACAAACTGGCTAGTAGGGACCAAGCTGTAGAGCTTGTGCGCTGTACAGCTCTGTACAGCTCTGTACAGATCATTCTGGTTTGCAGATGATGATCACTCATCAGCAAAATCCAAGATTCCTTATTTGACTTTTAGCGGCTTATTTGAGCTTTACTTTTCAGGCAACTTCGCAAATGCGCGCCAAGGCACAACAAGTCAGTCAAAGAGTACCTAGCTTAAGCTGTTTCAAGTCGTCCAAGGGAACAAAGATGATAAGGCTCAAAAATGCGATTAATTGTATTAAAGTGAAAAAGATAAGTGCGAATGTCTATGATGCGAGCTCAAAAGCATGATGATCAGCATATTTATTGACATAGAATGTTCGAAAACTGTCATATGAATTGTGTAGATTAATATTGTGGCAGAGAAAATGTCTGCCATAAACGGGAATGAGGTGAGCCGCACGATAGATTGAATCGACATGTATAATGTTGTAGAGAGGTGCATTGTTGGTGCCACAGGCCGGACGGACCATCCACATGCCAGTATCTTCATCGGGTAAGTCTCCAATGATATTAAACCAGCGCATGATGGCACACGGGTAAGTCTTTCCTCCATAATTGAATGAGAAGAACACACGAATCCTCACGACTTCGAGTCCTCGAATGCTCACATCTTCTGACCCAATATTGACGAAAACACAGTCATAATGAGGGGCCTCATTCCGCCACATGGGACAAGCACGAATGTGCTCAATCCGCATCCCACCGATTCCACTTATATCGCTCGGGGCATAGAACCGTGAGCATGCAGAGTTGAATACTGATATTTTGCCCTCATATCGAGGGCATCCTGCAATAGGAATTTCCGACACATCTCGTGGATCATCTGGATGTGTCTGCTGGAAGAGAAAGTGGTGGACCATCTCAGGTAGACGAGGGATATTCAACTCTTCAGTGAGAGCGAGCACGGTGCGTGCACATTTTGTCTCTGCATGCCAAATCAGACATTTGACACACAACAATGAGGGAATATACTTGCATGCAGTTCGCGCTAATCACGTATGCACTGGCAGAACTGTTGGGCCAGGATCTACCCCATCGATGTCATCTTCAGGAACAGACATGTCAAAGTCTTTGTCGTGAGCGTTGCGGATTGCATCATTAGTAGTAGCAAGTGCATGATGCCTTGGTTTGTCTTGTTGTGCTTATGGGATTAAAAATCAGCTTTCAAGCGGCTGAAAATATGTTTAGAACTTACAAAGGGCATCAAGGGCTGCTGAAAGGCAAGTTCCATCCAACATCCCATGGCTGGTGAAGTCGACTCGTGCAGCAGCGAGTTTATCGAGCCGTTGATTCATGACAAGCATTTGACCAAGCACATTATATTTGCTTGATCGCCTCCATGGATCTTTAACAGCCTTGATGTGTTTGCTCTCTGTAATGGACGAGCAGAGTCCATTTGGAGTGCCAAAGAGTTGGATGAGCTGCAAATAATGAGAGATAGAGTGTTGTCGCGGTAGAGAGAACGTGGATACAGTGTCACTTTCCAGGAAAATCTTGCGATAATGATGGAAACGGGAAATAGCATCTTGCAGTTTCTCCAGCATGCGCTCGGGTATAGTATTCTTTCGTACAATGTAACAAAATTCAAGAAACACACAGAATGTGCATACAATTTCCACTGGGACGTGTCCCTCAATGGCCGCTATATAAACCTGATGGGGTTTAGCAAGCAAGATCATAGTGAAAAGTAATGGGACACGTACCTTCATAAGTGCTTTTGAATCATCTCCGGTCCATTGTTTGAAGCCATGCCCTTGCGGGAAATGCCTCAGGCCTGCGAAAGGGGCGACACTAGTGATTCTATTGAAGGTAGAGCCAGAATTAGATATTAGAAATTAGAAATGAGATACAAAATCAACATACCTATGATCAATGTCATCCAAGATGTGTTGCGCGTTGCGTGCTCCATGTGTTTGTAGGAGATACTTATGGACCCAGTCCACGAGATGGTCCTTGAACGTGCCTTTAATGAGCTGATGTAAGATGTCGGGTGCTATCAGCTGGCAAATATCAGCGCGAGGAAAATCATTAGTGAACGGCTGTGGATATAAATTGTAGTGAGAACAAGAATGAAGATAAAAATGAGAAGACGTACGACAAGATCTGCTACAACTCCAAACTCGTCCCATAGTTCCAAATATGTCCCCACACTAACAAGTTCTTCTGTATACTCTTGACATTGAGGAAGTGTGCCAGCTGCATCAAGATCATAATTTGGTGACATATATCTTGAGTAGTATACCATAAGTCAAAGATATAGAAACAAAAAACAACCAATTACCGTGGACACCAGCGGCGCACAATACATGCCAGCAGAACTTCTTCTTCATAGTCGGCAATGTAAGGTCCAAGGCCATAGATGACGCGATGGAAATGCCCATCACCAAATTCTGCGACCTCAGGTTTCATCATTCTGGGCCTAAGTCTTTCGAGAATCTTGGAAAGCGAAGCATGAAACAACTGGTGGCGGAATTTTCGGAAGTGTGGGTCACTTGCATGTTCCTTTGTAGCTACTAGGTCATCAGTACATTGCATAATACTACAAGAAGTTATTTCACTCACTCTTTGGCATCGCAAGAAAGCCAATGACTGCGACTGCATTCCGGTGTGCACACTGGACATTGTTGTGGACATTCCCAATGGACAGATAGAGTGGGTAATACTCATTGTTCCCGGTTCCTACAGAGACAGTTGTTTTGTCACTTCCAAGAATGACAGGAACAAAGGTGGCGCCAATTGAATCTGGATCCTTAGAAATGATGTCCTAGTATGATATGTTAGTTCCCTGGAGTATTCATAGCGATGGTCATGTACATACTGCTTGATCCCATGCCCAGTCAGCAGACATGAAGTCTCTATAATGGTGCTCCTCGCCTAAGGTCAAGTACTCTCGGTAAGGTCAAAAGTCCATCTCGTGTGTGAAATTGGGGTTTGCAAGCATGTTGCGGACTACTTGATGTGGATCTCGGTACCATACATCAAAGGCGCTGTCCATCCAGGGCGGATAACTACCTTCAGGCTTCTCACCTGTATACGAGCATGAGAAGCACTCCCACTTGACCTCTCCCAATGGTATTGCATCAATCATCACATAGAGATCTTGATGGTCTGCAAATGGTGGTGCATCACTATGTTTGAGCAAGGTAGATGCCCATAGGGCAAGGTGTGCATCAATTTTCCGGGCAGGCATTGGGTTCTGAGTGTAGAAAAAATCGGCAGTTTTGAATTCAGTGCGGTTACAGAATGGCGTCCAGTCATTCAGAGATTGAGGTTCATGAGTTGGTGGCAATGCATCATCGTCAAAAAAACAACCATGAATGTCACATGGACGTCCTGTAAGCCATGTCAGCAGCTACATTAATGAGAGACATGAAAACAAACCATTGAGTTGGGTGTGATAGTTGCGAAAAAGATGGTTCCCGGGCCCGAAAAACTCAGTATCAACATCCAGCGGGGGGAAGACCTCAGCACATCAGCACAGTGATCATGATTGTACCCAAGGTCGTGTTCCTCGTTATCAGGTGAGAAGGGGAAATCCTGACCATTATACCGATCTTCAAGTTGTTGCAACAGGACATCTGGGACATCGATGTCCATGTCCTGCTCTGGTGGCGGGGAAGATATCACAGGATGGGCTGACAAGATATGTTTTGTGCGCCCTGCACCTGTCTTGAAAAACCGCTTGCATCCTGCATCTCCACATGGGAGTTGCAAGACACTGAAGTCTCTGCGATGAACCTGAGAGCGAGGGATAGTATCAGGCGTAGTTTCAGCGTCAGGTAAGATGATTGATGTAATGGATTTTTGGTGTGGGGAGGATGTAATGGATTTTTGGCGTGGTGAGGATTGATGTAGTGGATTTTTGGTGTGGGGAGGATGTAATGGATTTTTGGCGTGGGGAGGATTGATGTAGTGGATTTTTGGCATGGTGAGGACACGGTGGATTTTCGGTGTGGTGAGGATGCGGTGGCCTGGAGTGAAGCTGAGATGTTCAAAGACTAAGGTTCAAATAAGCGCTTAGCACTAAGGGTTCATGCATCCCAGACAAAACAGGGTGCCACTTACAAATTCCCTTTCATTCCATGCAGTTGTCTTCCTTTCTACCACTCACATACTAGTACAACTCAGCCTGTGCATCCTGGTCCCACCCTTCTTTTCATTGAGCCACCACTTGTCATGCCTCCTCATCACACACGTGCTAAAAATGCTACCACCCATCCGGGTCAGATTGTTCTTGATGCACAACGGAAACGATGCACCAAAGCCGAAAAACAAGCAGACGATGACCACTTGACAGCAGCCAGGGCAGAAAAGGAAGCAGATGCCCTAGCAGGGCTCACCAGACTGGCAGAAATGCAGGTCCAGATAGAGGCTACACAGGCTCAAGCTGCTGACAAGCCCAAGGCAGTCAGACCATGACCGGTTCCAAAGGGTCGCCAACCACATGCCAGCCAATCAGAGGAACCTTTTTCTAAAGCAGGTCGCCAGTATGCCAACAATATGGATGGTCCTGGTGAGACGTCAAACTTGAAGGATCAGATTTTCGATGAAGATGAGTCATTGGGTGGTAGCAATATTGAAATTCCAGGCGGTACAAAGCAGAAGTCAAAGAAACAAACACTTAAGGCAGCGATCTCAAGTGTTAGGTTCTAGATTGATGCAGATGTCAATGATGCGCATGCAAACAACGAGAAAGGCAACTCCGTGTGCGTGTTTTCCTCAAACTGCCATGTTTATGCTTACTGAATCTACTCTATATTTTCTCAATTTCATCTGGGCGTCTAGAACAAAATCTGGTCTACCTGGTCGCATTCAAAACTGGAGGACAAATGTTCCCCCGAAATCAAATTCCCAGCAAGAATCGCTTACTACTGCCACTCAACCGCCGCCTTCAATTTTTTCCAATGCATTGAAGAGGACCTCCGTCAGTTCATATGCACCTCCCCCTCCTAGCAGCAAAGCGGACGATATTGAGGACCTTGTTGGAGCTTTTGGAGATGAGGACTTAAATGAAACACTCGAATGGGAGGCAGCGGCACTTATGACAAAGAGTCAGGGTAAACAACCAGCGATGGTGAGTGAATTTTTTAAATTGTGATTTGCGAGTTTGTGCCTCTCAGGCTGATTTGAATCTAGTCTACCATCAGTATTGTATCTACTAGCACTGATCATGACCTCGAGCCACCATCCAGCACTCAACCCTGCTTGAAGAAGCACACCTTGATGCCACCGCCTTCAATGCAACCCCGAGCCATACATGACCTCAAACCACCATCAAGCACTCAACCCTGCTTGAAGAACCGCGCCTTGATGCCACCACCTTCAACACAACCCCGAGCCGTATCCAGCACAAAGAGGAAGAAGCTTGCTGAGGTCATTGAGTTCTCTGAGAGTGAGATCTCTGAGTTTTTGGACACAGACAATGACCTTATGGAGGTTGATGGCCCGAATGACGAATTTGATGCTGATATCAAGCCTGAGCCAGTGGTTCAGAACAGTGCTAAGGCTACACGCACTACAACTTCTGTATCTCCCTCCGCTATTTCTTTTATTTTTTCACTACTAACTTCAGTCTCAGACGTCAGTGACTACCACCACTCACAAGGCTCCTGCTCCTCCTCCCTCAAAGAAGGTGAAACTCGAGAAAAATACCAAACTTGAGGGCACCATCAAATCCGAGGGAACATCGACTGTGTTGCCTGGCACCTGGGTAGAACCAGTATCAAAGGTGTGTTCATCATATTTGAACACAGACCTCCCATCAGGCTGTCATGAGGATGGAAAATGGGTTCAAGTCTTTTTACCAACAGTCTTTCTGTGGCTCAGTGCACAAGAGGAACTCTGGGTTATTGCTGATGCTAAGTTGCTCATGGCGTGCAAAGAAATTTTCAAGGTCAGTCTATCCAGATATTCGCTACAACGTCACCACAGTCTGGGTCTGTTTTTGGTGTTGTCCATGTTACCACTTTATTTGGGGGACACTACTGATATATTACAGGTCACACAACGTGTTGGCGAATGGCATAGCAACTTCAGGGTCTACAGCACTTGCTATTGCAATTGATTTTTGTGCCTCCAATCAAGATTCAGCTCCAGCAGAACTCGCAGAACTCCTCCTTGTCCACTATGGCTTCCTATACCCTAACCCTGACAACATTGACAAGACAGAAACATTTCGCTCTGCATTTGTGCAGGAACTTCTCGCAATGGCGCATCTGTCTCGAATTCTAGGACATGCTGATGTCCCTGTTCTCAACACTCACAACTTAATTAAACATGGTCTTTTCGGGGCATTGGGGTTGTGTGCCAGTTTCGGTAAGTCAATCCTAAGTGGATTTTCACCTACTAATTTCTGTATTTGTAGCTTGAACGCGCTTTCTCTCTTCTTGCTGATAATACTGTTACTATCGACCATGAGGATCACTTGGGGCTGCCGATTACTGCACAGAGAGCTCGTCTCAAGACACCGAAGACCCTCAACACAAGGAGACAGGTCTCAGAGCATGCATTTTCAATTGCCAAGTGGAAATCCAAGACTGACACATTTATACGTGCGGCAGCTAAGAAGGGGGAGGCAGCAACAGAGCTCACTGTCTCAATGGCATGGAAGCTTCTGAAGAAACCCTGGCTTCGATAAGTACACCAGCAATGACTCATTCAAGGATGAGGATGATTGTGCAGATGTTTGGTAAGTTATAGTGTCTTTCATCATTCCCAGGTTTTGACTAGTACATTTTGTACTATCTACAGATATGTGAGCCTCACGCCTCCGGTCAACATCTCCTTCATGCAGCTTTTCAATCCATCGTTTTGTGCCCTCCGCCTGCACTTTTCACCATTTGGAACCATTTCTTTGCTCCTCACTAATGCATTTTATCCCGGTTTTCTGGTCTTTTGTCACCTCTTAGCACTCATTAGCTGCCCTTTAGTGCTCTTAATGCTTTGTGTGTCTCGCTCATTTTTTGACTTAATCACCCTTTTGCAGCGCTTTTTAGTGATTCTATGACACATTTTACAGCTACTTGCAATGGAATTTATCGAGTTTTCATGCCTTAAATCGTGTGTGATAAGTTGATTCAATTGTGTTTAAGTCGCTACAAGATGAGGCATGGCCTTAGCGCGTCTTGTGGCGCTCTTGCTCTTTTTTTCCTTAAGGTCCCTGAAAAAGTCAAAAAAGTCCGATTAAGACATCCGTGATTTTCCTGATGTTTTTCATCTTACTACCAGAGGGATAAATGAAATTAAGATGAAAATAAGAGATCGACTGGTCTGAATAAGTCAACGTTTACTTATTCAGCGCTCCTACTTATTTGCGCTTATTAAGTCATTTAAGTACATAAAGGAAATGTGAGAATTTCCTGATGGCCTATACAATTTCGTCATTGAATGTCTGATGGTACAGTGCATAGGAGTTTACTGATGTTCTCCCTCTAATTCAAATCAATTTCTCATCATGTACAGTTCGAGTGCACGGTGCAGTGCACAGTGCACATGCCGCACTTAGCGACAACTTTGAAAGTAGCAAAACAGAATTTTGAAAAGTCGTACTACTGCAATTTGATATGCAACACACTGTGAACGTGTCTAGAGTCTCGTTACATGAGGTTGCAAGGTTGCAAGGTCTAACAATCCGAAGAGTCTCACACATGATGCATTGTGATTCACAAAAAGCGTTAGAGGGATAGACACATCTACAATTCCATCATGATACAGAGGGACCAACCGGCCAACTCTTTCCTCGCCAAGAAAGACGACTTTATACAAATAACAATTTTTGAATTTTATGCAGCAGCAGTAGCAACATCATCTAGCTGCTGACGTTCTCTCGAGGTCTCGTGGTGCTGCTGGAGCAATCGGTCGAGTGCCTCCTTTTGACCGACTGCGAGCTCTCCAGACTGGATGCCGGAGTGATATATACGCAGCAGGGAGTCAACATCGTCCATGGATTGAGTGCGGACATCAGCGAGCTCCTTGATCTTGGCAGTTGCATCCTTGACCTGTTATAATTGTATTAGTAAATTGTGGAAGGGCGATGCAAAGATAATATAGCAGACCTCATCGTCGGTGAGATTGAGTCCAAGCTGCTCAACTCTTGACTTGACGGCGTTCCAGCCAGTGAGACGGTGTCTGATGGCAAACATCAGCCTATCACGAGCCATGAACGGCTAGGAAAGGTACACACCCAATCGACACGTATCGGGTAAGCCCAAAGTCTTCGGGCTTTAAAATCTCGTATGTGCTAGGGTTGTTCAAGATCGCCTTGGCATGAATACCAGCCTTGTGCGTAAAAGCACAGTAGCCGGTGATCGGGTTCATGAAAGGCACGTTGACCTCTACTGCCTCTGCGACGAGGTTTTCAATCTCGCGCAGCATGGGTAGATTGTACTTGGCCTTGACGTATTCAGGGTTGGCAGCGTACAGGCATGCCACGAGACCACCGAGAGGCGTGATACCGACACGCTCACCGATACCAAGGACCGCTAAGAGAGATTCAGCCATGTACCAGTGAGGAAAAAACAAATATACGTACAGGTATCGATGTGTGTTGCGCCAGCCTCCAATGCGCAATAAGCGTTAGCGATTGCCATTCCGGTGTCATTGTGTAAGTGGATCTCGATATCACAACCAACGACGCCGCGGAGGGTACGAACAAGGTCATAGACTTGTCTAGGGTTTGCGCATCCAACGGTGTCAGCTATGCCCACACGGTTGACACCAACCTTGTCGACAGTCTGGTATATGGAAAGTAGATCGACGAGGTCGGAACGGAAGGAATCTTCTGAGGAGAAGCGAACTTCGATGCCCTTGGACTTGACGAATGTGATGACTTCGATGGCGGTCTTAGTGATGTAAGTCATGTCCTTGCCGTGGGAGAATTCGCGGAGGAACGAAGATGTTCCAATCACAACATCGACGCCATCGACGCCTACGGATGGTGCAAATGAGTGAAAAGATAAGGTGAAAGCGCTATGAAGCTCACCAGTTTCGACAGCGATTCGTGCATCGTCCATGTGGCAACGAATGTGGGTGAGAATCTTGGCCTTGAGACCGAGCTTGCAGATGGCCTCGCAGTCAGCACGCGATTGCTCAGATGCAGCGGGAGAGGTCAGCTCGATGTACTCGACACCGAATGCATCAAGGGCCTTGGCGATGGCGATTTTTGTTTTGGTATCGAAGAAGGCGTTGGCAAACTGCTCACCCTCTGGATCACCAATCAAACTAGGCCAAAGTGCAAAAAACTTGCAAGACGTACCTCGAAGAGTACTCTCGATGATGGAGAAATTTGATATGTTGCTTAGAAAGTCTGATGCGCGTGGTGCATACGGATTCCTGCGCTGTGCTTCACTGGGGTGTCCATTGGCACCATTCGCGCCGCTGGACTTGGCACCATTCAGGCCGTTTGCACCGTTGACCTGGATCATCTGGGTCTTGTCAGGCATCGATAGGGAATCTGTATTTTGATGTGAGCAGGAGCACGGCATTTTATAGTTTTGAGAGGATGATGAATAAATCAAGGAGAGATCTAAAGGATAATGCCTAGGACAGTCAGAACGAGTCACGATCGATCATAAGATTATAAAATTAGGTTGACACACTTACAAGCCTGGGAATGACAAATAATTTAATTAACAATAAGTAATCGTCACCAATACTGATAGGATTGCGACATCGGACGTTGGGCAAGTCTCAAATGGACGGTCAATGATAGGTTCCCTGAAGCTTGCCGTGGTTCCGTCCGCGCCACTGTCCGAGCACCACTGACATACATAAACCCCTATACTATGGCCACCCGCAAAATCACACCATTGCATAGTATCTTTTGCATATATATGGCTATTTAAATCGATTGTCTGTTATCACCGTTCCGTATGAGTGAGTTTCAGACATTCTGGTACTGTAGCAGTTGAACACGCTCGCAAGGGTCAAGGCAATCTCATTATCTAGTGCCTGAGCGCTGAGCAGCTCACCTGCAAATACAGTCGGAGTGTACATGTCAAGCGATAAACATCACTAGCGAGGGATGCCAGGGGGAATTTCTCATGGCACAGGAGACGATAAAGCACAGTTGGCGCCAGAAAGTGATTAAAATCTAGGTGCACCGGCCCAATTAAAATAGTAGCTTATACTACAGAGGCACGGAAAGAACGATATGAGCGAAATTTGAGCTCGAGGGTGGAAACTCATTGAATGCATGCTAGTAGTGTATCTCATCCATATGACACGCGATTGGGACTGTCGCGGGCTCGCTTTTACGATTACTTGTACAACGAATAACCGCCTCAGGTGGCTGTCTTCGAAAGATATGCCAGGCTTCGAAATCCAGCTGGCATGGGAGTATCGACTACGGTGCGAGATTTGCAATTAATGTCGTGAATGTGCCTGCAGCATGGATGTCCCAAAAGTCGGCGATGAGACGAAATCAGGTTGAATCATGGATTTCAATGCAATTCTAAACTTAAGGTGTTCTAACGCTCGACGTCCAGATAGGCATCTAATCCCAATCCCCCGCAAGTCATCGTAGAATTCATGAAGAACATCAACGATTTCCTGCATCAGATATCAACGTGTGCATTGAGTTTCTCTCTTGAGGATCACAGACTCGACTATTTTCCTCATCTCAGCTCCAGGCTCCGGTTGTGGTATCTGAGAAGGGCGTTGACTCCACGCAGCGCAACGACAAATACTACTTAACGCATGTCTGCGTGCGAGATGATAAAGGATGTAATAAAATGTTAGTCCTTGTGTGATGTATGAATATGAGGAATAAAGTCTGTCCTTCGGTTGCAAGGATTCAGTACTCAGAGTGGGGCACAGAGTCACTGCAACGACTACACACCGCTGCATACACATATAACCACTCTAGCTCTCATTTGCAATGCTCGACTCTCATAGACATACCTGGTCCGTACTCGTTACACGTTTGGCGTAGTGGTAAAGCGAGAGTAGGTTTCATTCCAGCGTGTTTGCAGATCGCCTAGTTTCCCGAGTGATTGTGTGGGTAGTATCATATGAGAGCAAACATAGAGAGGACATGAATAATGTAATAACACCTGTCTAACCCCGTTTCTTCGACACACCGACCGTTTTCCCGCGACGGCCTGCACCACATTTCAGAAAAGTTTTTCCTAACAGCGGGAACGAGTTGCTTACCAGTAGTTTTTGTGTGTTGACCGCGCACCCGCAGGCCCCAGAAGTGCCTGAGACCACGGTGGGCCCGAATCTTCTTCAATCGCTCGAGGTCATCACGCAACTTCGAATCGACACCGTTGGAAAGGATCTGCGAGTCCTTGCCGTCTACAATGTCCTTCTGTCTGTTCAAAAACCATGTGGGGATTTTGAATTGAGTGGGATTTTGGATAATCGTAACAATACGCTCAAGCTCGTCAGAGTTCAATTCACCAGCACTATACAAGTATATGAGCGAATTGCGTACCACAGAATGGAAACACATACCGCTTGTTGAGGTCAACATCTGCCTTCTTGCAAACAAGGTTGGAGTAACGACGTCCAACACCCTTGATCTCCGTCAGAGCGTACATAATCTTGCGCTTTCCGTCAACATTAGTGTTGAGCAAACGCAGAATGTGCTGTGGATGGCGTAAATCGAAAGCAGATACAAAGCCCAAGGCAAACAGA